TCTTCGTTGATTACTAAACGATTCGTGTTAATGAAATGGGCAAACAGTGTAATTATTTTGCAGCAACGGTGAAATGAAAATACTGAAATTCTTGTGACCGAAATCTATAGTTCAGATGAATTCTTTGTTATAAGTGAAATTATATTTTGCTTATTTCTATTCTTGGAATTGTAATTTTCCAATGATCACATTATTATATTATATTCACATTTTATATATGAACTATATATATAATATTTTTTTATAAAACTTGTATAATATATAAATAAATGAGTAAGAATCTATTTTAAATTTTAAGATAAAAATTATATTTTGCTTATTTCTTCAAGAGTCTTCTCTTTTAGAAGATTTTCAATGAATTTTTCTTCTTCCAAGTTAGAATCTATTTTAAATTTTAAGATAACAATTTATTCACGATTTAATCTAATTAAAATATTATTAAATTATATATTCTAAAATTTCTTTAAATCTTTTTTATTGAAATTAAAGTAAGAAATGAATCGAGAATCATTGATTCACCCAAACTAGACTTAGCCATCACTTTGGAAACAGAAATGAAAATTTTAAATTTCTTTTAGCCAAACAAATGATTTTTAAATGCGAAACAGCATAAAATTGCAGAATAAAACTGGAATTTATAAAAAAAAAACGTAATCAAAATTCGTTAGTTTTAATTTTTTTATCAGTCTAATATTAACATGGATTTTTTTTAAAAAAATTTATGGATATATTTGTAGACGTGGAATTTTTTTCTGATTGGCATATATATATATATATTCTGTTTTTGAGTTAAATTTAAAATTCAATTTAATTAATTCACAATTTTTTAACCATTTTTTAATAATATTTATTAATTATTAATCTCGGTAATATTATTTGGGTAATTTAATAAAACCAACTTCTTTAAACATTAATTAAAGAAACCTGAAAAGCTCATAATTGAGAACTAGTTTTTAAAAGTAGCTACATAAGGAATGCCAGTAGCGGGCAACCAATTCTCACGACTCAAAAGGAATGGTCGAGGTGTGAAACTTCATGGCGGGTGTTCCGATCGATCTTGTGATAACCTTTCCAGTTAACCTCCGGTCGAGATTAGCACCGGGGCCACGGTTGTTGTATTCGGCGTAGTAGAGAGTATCTTCGAAAGCGCTTCCGGCCCACGGCGTCCATCCCTCGGGACGAATCAAGTCTCCCAAGGTAGACTCCATGACCACGGTGGTTGAAAACTTCTTCCATGGCCTGCCTAAGTATGTCGCCAGCCTCAACCTGTCGGGAAACAACTTTTCCTCCGGTACGATCCTACAATTTTGGATGACGATACCGGTGTTCTCGTTGGGATCACTCTTGCCTTGTGCTGTCACCGTGTTAGCTTGGTTCCAATGGCTTCCTCACGATGATCAACGAGTTCTGTATAATGGTAGGGGAGTCACCGAAGATGAAGTCAATAGTTCCGGAGATGACACAATTGCGGAAGAACTGACGATTTGCGTGATTGTACAATGTGTCTTGGTAGGCATCCATTCGGCAATTGAAGAAGGCTGATTTATCGGATTGAATGCGAAGAGCCACGGCTTGGTGCTTTGCAGCTCCGGCAGTATTCTGAACCCATTGATCTGGCAACGAATCCGGTTCCGATAGCGGCTGCACCGATCAAATTCACGAAATCATTTACTATAACAAATTTATCCAACAGATTTTTGATGCAATTGTTGGACTGAAAAATTACAAAAAGTAGCAGTTTTCCAGGTTTGAACGCCATCGACAAAATTCTTTCTGCCAGTGACAATGGTCCTTCTTGGCCCATCTCCGAACATAAGGATGTTGGTTAATGATTTGTCCAAGGTGATATACTCATCGTAGATTCCGGCCTTGACATAGATAACATGACGAACTGCCGATTTCTTGGGAGCAGCCGCGAGGGCAGCTGCAATTGTCCTGAACTGGCCACTGCCATCTTTGGCCACAATCGCGTTCGGTTTAATATTATTGTTATCGATCTTAGCAAAAAGCTTTCGGTCTACATCCGAGAACCATGAGGGGAAGTAGCCATGTGTCTCAACAGAAAGAAGTTTACGAGAGTTGGGAACATTCAATTGGAGGCCAAATTTAGCAAGAATTTCCGTTAATTTCGTCACGATCGCCAAGGCGTTGGATGTGAGTTCACTAGCATCCGTAATCCCGTCCGTCATGTTCTTTTTCATTGTATCTTTGTCTTCGAAACCATCCAAACATGATTGTTGGTACGATATAACAGCGCTCAGCCACGTCCTGAGATCTGACACCCGATCAGTCATGCTGTGCAACTGAGCATCACCGACCTCCGAGTACGATGCCTGAAGGGACTGAATCGCGTAGTCCATCATGTCCTTGCAATCTTCCAGTCCCATCCTCGTTCGGCTATCGTTCTTGACCGTGACGATCAAGGAGTCGGAATAATTGAAGAATTTTTTCACCGCATCCTCGGCGGCCAAGATAGACTTCATAATATATTCTTTGGGGTCCGTGCTGTCGACGGAGCCGAGGGTCTTCTGGCAAGAATCTTGGTGATTAGTAGATGAACAGAAATTGGAAACGGCCTTCATTGACGGGGACAAATCAGAACCTTCATGGCTTTTCTTATATTGAACCACGGCAACAACGCCGATGGCGACTCCGATCAAAAGGATGATGGAAACCGCCGTTATTATTATTTTGGCCGACATTGATCCTTGGCTAATGTGTCTCGCACCGGTTCCCAAAACACTTGAAAGGGACTCGGATGGAAGGAGTTTATTAGAAAGCTCGGTTCTTGATTTTGCATGGTTGGTTTTTTTATAGCTAAGTGGAGGACGTCTAAAATTAGGGGTTCCCTTTTTGCATGGATTTTTAAATGGAAGTTACGAAAAGTGTGGTTTATCCCCTTTTTTACTTGTGGATTGTGTCCATTTTGTTGTTTGAGACACAACGTTTTTCCCTTACATACTACGTACTCCATATAATTTATTACAATTACACACGTGTTTAAAACAAATTGAACCATTGCTGTTTTATAAAATGTTTTTTTTGACTTTGGTTAATGCGTTAGCTAATCCATTGTTATAAGTCTAGTTCTATTGTTTTAATGTTATTTAAGTTTTTTTTAAATAAATTTATTTGTCATTTGATTCTAATGTTAAACAATAATAGATATTTAATCTAAATTTGACGAGTTTCAATCTAATTCGATTTTATAGGATGAGTTTTTTTTTATATAAAAGCAGAGTTCAAGTCGGGTTAGATATTTTAAAGGATAAATTCAGGTTGATCATATCAAAGAATAATATAATTGATCTCTACATTTAAGGATAATTGCTATAGTACTCATAAAAATGATATATATATATATATATATATATATATATATATATATATATATATATATATATATTGGATTAAATATGGGTGTAAGCTTTTACTTAAAAAAAATACTATATGAAACTTCCCTAAATTTGAATCAGGTCGAATGACATATAAAGAAATATTATACTCCAATAAAGTTATGATAGACCTAGTACCCAACTCGATTTAACCCATTTTCGATTATTTTATGAATAATCGAAACAATTTTATAAAATATCTTTTTTTTTATTTTATAATTTAATTTTAAATTTTATAAAATATCTTTTTAATTTAATTAATTTTTAATAGTGTATAAGATATGGAAAAGAATAAGGAAAGCACCCAATAGGCCAATGAATGTCCATGAATTTATGACCTCGCATGCTTTTCAAACTGAAAAGAAAAAAAGGACAGAGCTTTTCAATCTGAGTAACTTGCCCTCCTCCGAGGTGTTTACTGATTGACTCAATAGAAAACTGAACAGAGATTGATTATTGAGTCGATGAAGGGATCTAAAGGAAGAGATTGAAAGGAGAAAGGTAATAATTTTTATGTTAAAGTTACAGGCATAAATCTTTCACCGACAATAATGCGGCCGGTGATGACGTCGACGATGACAATAGTAGTTGTGGTGATCGGTGATGGCCGGTAATGGAAGTTTAGAATTAAGGATTTAAGCTTTTTCCGTGATTTTGGATAAATTTAAGGTTTATTTTAAATATATATAAATATAATTATGAGTTTTTTTTAATAATTTTTTAAAATTATAAAAGCGACACGTTTCAGATAATCGTTCTTTTAATGGCGTCACGGTGTAGGCACTTAAAAGAATAACATTAAAATCTTATTTTTAACAAATTCTTTAAACATCTAAAATCAACTTTATAAATAATATGGACACTTGCTTTTGTATTAAGCCTAATAAAAATAAATAATAATCACAAGTGTAGAACGAAGTGTGTGCTTGTTCAAAACACCTTCACGAATATTGTCTGGACAGTCTAAATAAAAGGAAAATATATCGCGCTTGTTTATGAATTTAAGAATGCTTTTTGTTTGTGATTTTTCAGACCCATTTTATGATATGTTTTTTGTCCGAAGGATTTAGTGTTGCTTAGGGATAGGGCTTTAGTCTCTCAGTCTCAGGCAATTTGTTTCTTATGTTTTAACGCTTAATCGAAATTTTCGCTTTTTTAAACTGTTTTTATTTCATTTTTAATTTAAAAATATATATTTTTATATATAAACCTATAATAGATTGAAAACCATGTCATCAAAGTGTTCTAACACGTGCATGTAACGGTAAAATATAAGTTGAGAACCACACTAGATTCTAAAGAAAAGATTAGGTCGCATTAGAAAGTAGGTAAATATTTCAGGATGGAGACATGCTCGCCTAGTACACGTATATCCGCCACTGATTGAATATCACAAACTAGATCGTGAGAATATGTTTCTTCCTATGTTCCAATTCTCATTCATTAGCTTCAGCAGCAACTACTAATCTATTCATCAGGTTACAATTCAATTAGAATCAAATTTATTTTTGGAAACCAGATAATTATTTACATAATTTAAGGGGAAACGGCACAAAACCTGGAGAAAACGTATTTTCTTTTCTTTCTTTTAAAGCTATGGAGGTAATACAACAATGGAATTTGAAATTTAATCATATTATTCTTACTACATGTGACAAACGGTAATGTTTGCAAGGAAGACCAAACATTCAATAAAAGCCATAACGGTTGAACGAGGTAGACATCAGAACATCAAAAAGGGACTGTTAATTCAATTGTGCCATTTATGCCTGCAATTATATGTACATTTATCAGCACAATTCTGCAAGTTTGGGTTTAACAATAATCGGGCATGATTTGCGTGAGCTTACCTTGCTCGCAATATTGTTCGAGAGCCAGTCGAGTCCCTCGTACAGTCCTTCCCCAGAAGTGGCACAAGTGCTCTGTATATACCTGCAAAATACATATTATATAGAGGGTGAGATAGCAATCTACAAACAAAGAGGGCCGGATAAAGACTGCGAGAGAGATGAAATGAATTGTCATCTTACCAGTGGCGCTGACGGAGAGAATGTAGGCCAAGCTTATCAGTGATCTCGGCAGCATTCATAGCATTTGGAAGATCTTGCTTGTTAGCAAATACTAGCAGCACAGCATCCCTCAACTCATCCTGTCAATGCACATACAATAGTAAGTTCAACATCCAGAGTGACGATGGCATCCAGAGTGAAACGTTTAGTAATTTCGCAACCACGTGTTCAAGATCAATTACCTCGTTCAACATCCTGTGCAACTCATCTCTAGCTTCGACCACACGTTCACGGTCATTGCTATCCACCACAAAGATAAGTCCTTGTGTATTTTGGAAATAATGCCTCCACAGTGGCCGGATCTTCAAAGAAAGACGAAGGAAATAAGCAAGGTGTATAATTGAGAAAAACAAAGACCATAAGCATTTTGTTTAATCTAATATATCTAACAAGATCTAAGATGAACTCAAAGCATAACCATCAACCCATGCATATACTTAACAAATATATAGCATATGTTTTCTTCTTTCTTGGAACAATACGACACTTAATTGATCACGGAATATATAAGACCGCAAAATAACTTCCATAATCATTCCCTTTTACAAGCTATGGTAAGAAAGTAATAAAAAGAACATATCAAAAGATGTACAGATTTTCCATTTCATGCAATATTTACGGTTCATGGTAATATGTTTGGGGAAAAAAAACCTAAAACCAGTTACCTTGTCCTGGCCACCAACATCCCATACAGTAAAGCTGATGTTCTTGTATTCCACGGTTTCAACATTGAAACCTACGAGATTATAATATTATCAATTAGAAACAAAATTCAAATGAATTAAAAGACGTTACAACTTCATGAGATCAATAAAAAGGGGACTTACCAATGGTGGGAATAGTGGTAACGATCTCTCCCAGCTTGAGCTTGTAAAGAATGGTGGTTTTACCAGCAGCATCAAGCCCAACCATCAATATACGCATCTCCTTCTTGGCAAAAAGCCGGCTGAATAGCTTTGCGAAAGACAGCCCCATTCTTCACGTCTGCCGAAACACCAAATTACAAAATCATCAATTTAATTTGAAAATGAAAAACAAATTGTATTATTCAAGATCAAAGCAGATCCAACGGCCGGACCAAAACAGGCCAGAATTCACCATATCAACACATAAAAATCTAAATCAAACGAACATAAATTCAATTCGAGAAATACAAATCTGTGCAACCCAACGAAACTCACGAGGATTCAAAGATTTAGATCAGATTAACACCACGCGAAGAATTCAAAATTCAAAAGATTTGACACAATTTCGAAACAAAATTGAAGTCAAATCTTATAAAAAAAAGAGAGAGGAAGATGCAGATCAAGAGAGATAAACACAGTGATATAAATGAAGATATATTTGTTGAATTTAACAATAAGTGATGGAAATTTTGCCTGCCAGAAAATGTCAGCGGTTGTTACGCGGAATCGAACGACTGAGAGAAGTGCGAGCGAAAAATATCTGCTCTCCGAATCATCAATTCTTATTATTTACAGATCCAAAAAGAGGATCTTGGTTTGACTGAACACCGTCTTCCCATTTCGAATTTTCAAAGCTAACTCTGTGGTTTCGGCTTTTGAACCAACGCTTGAAGTTGAAGCTTGGGCCCTTAAGAGCCTATATATAGATGGATGACGGCCCTATAGGAGCCCATGAAAGGAAAACACTTTGCCCTTATTGGACCATAAAGGGCCTCTAAACATCATCGACCTTGAACAAAACTTCGAAATGGGAACATATTACAAAGCTTCTTTATTGATTGTTGGGTTAGTAGAATCAATCACGATATGCATTTTTTTTTGGTTAATTTGTGGGGATTCGAACATATTCAATGGTGCAATCCATGTAAACACCTAAAGAATATCTGTCATCATTTGAGGACCTACCCACTTAAGGTTGATGGTTGAAGAGAGAAAAAATTATAGATCAAAATTAATATAATTTTGTGTTTACCTTACAATTTTTTTTATAATGATTCAAAATAAAGTATTCGAATTCAAATAAAAATCATTTATATTCAATTTCTTTTAGTATATTTGTAAATAGTGGAAGAATTTAATAGTATTTTTTAGAGTTATTTAAAATGTTTAGATTTATAAAAATCGATAATAAATCAAATATTCTTTAGTGTAAAGAATACTTTTATCATATTTTCATTTTTTAATTAAAAAATCAAAATTTTAATAATTTGAATTCTATGTGTGAAAATTACTCCTTAGTATAAAGAAAAATGGGTGTTTATAGAGAGAGAGAGAAATGATTGTAAGAAATGAAGAATATTTGTCTGAAATTTACTTTTATTGAAGGGCATGTAAACATACTATAAATTTAATGTTAGATTAAAATTTATAATCGTGAACACATATGTATAATATATAATGTTAAAAAAATATGACGTAAAATTAAATGACCAATTATATTACGTGTATTATAATAATTAAAGTATCATAAAAATAAAAATATCATAAGTTGTATTTAAAATTTCATGAGAGACAAAATTATAAATACTTATAAACTAATTTAATATTTAGTTTATATAAAGAGACAATAATTCCTAAGAAATAAGTTAACTTGTATTAATTTTATCTCGTCAAAGAGAGTTATTACTAAAGAGAAAACATATCTTTTTTGAAGATCTCAACCTTCTAAACGATCTCTGACAATGAAATTAATTATGCTTCTACAAATCTTGTATCTTAATTTTAAAATATATTTGTATAATTTTTTAGTGAGTTTTTATAGACATAAAATATTTTTTATTATTAAATAAAGTCACAGCAGGATAAATTTGAATAACGAAATATATATTAGAATAAATTTTTTTAAAAAAATCACTTATATTTAAATACAATAAATTATAGAGTATCGAAAAACTTTTCTGGCATAAATATAAATAATGCATGTGGGTACGTAAATTAAAGTCAACTGATGTAGCTTTCCTTTTATATATAATGCTTTCGATTGAGTGTTACTGCGAACAATAAATTGAGGAATATCCTTTAGTCCGCGAGGCTTTAATGTTTTATTAAGGTACATAACAAAATGGTTCCAATAATAATTAAATAAAAAATGTTATTTAATAGTTTTATTAGATCTAATTGTATCTTAGGCCATCTCCAATGCTGTGCCACATTTCAGCAATATCTCCAGTGTGGAGATAATATCAGCTCCAGCCTTGCGCCATCTTCAACGATACAGTACCTATGTGCTACAGTATCGCGTTAGATCTAGTGTGGTACTATAGCTAACGTTACATTTTTGCTTTTTTTTAATTAAAATATATTAAATTATAAGATAGATAAAAATTTATTAAAATTAGATAAATAATCATACTAATTTTTTTATAATTTTTCGGTTTTTTTATTTTTTTTATATTTGTAAAATTAATATTATAATAGTTAAATATTGTGAATAAAATAGAGTTAGTGGTAATATAAAAATAACGCTGGAGATGAATTATTGTTTCATCTCTAAAGTAGAGATAGAGATGCGTTATAATAGAGATTAAGACTGAAGATGCTTTTAATCTTAATTTAAAAGAAGTAAAAAGCGCTACAGAATAAAAAATTAATTCGTCTATAAATGTGTGCTGGCGTGGTATTCTATGTCATAATGGAGGAAAAATTGCTTACTTTTAGCTTAAAAGCTAACAAAGTTTGTACACAGTGGTTATAAACTAATTAATGAAATATAAACAAATAAAAGTCGGTATTAAAAAAATAAAAATAAAGTTGAAATCAAAAGGAGTAGATCAAGTCGAATGTGTTAACCACCATGCGAGGTCGTATGCTGCCAAAGAACAAAGTCTAATAGAACACTTGCCTCGTTGGAGGGAAAGTGTAAATATAATAGTGATGGTTGCCTTATGCAGTGGAACCTATGGTTGGAATTCAGAGTCCAGACGCAAAAAAACAGGTCAATGGGTCCCGACGTCGGTAACCTGTGAATGATGACATGGCCCCAATCAAAGGTGCATACACAACTAGCAAAAGAATGACAGTGAACGTCAGTGTCATCCCCCACACTCCCCCGGTTTTTACCCGCCTATACTTGTCTGCAACTGCATCATATAATTTTGTATTCAATATCAACTTATTTTATCTGAGCTTCTTTGTCTTTCTTTTATTTTAATATGTGGGGCATCTGTCTTTTCACAATGAAAAAAATAACCGAGTAAATATTGGTCGGAACTTCACCAAATCTACTTCACATCTTTCAAGCAGGCTTTTATATATTCGGATCCTTCCCTTTTGTCCTTCTACACACCCCCTTGCATTGCATCTACAGACCCTTTGTTGTGTTCCTGTTTCCTCTTATGTTTCCTCTCACAATTATGTAATTTGCTCGTCTCTCTTCATTGTTCTTTTCAGTACTTCATATCTTTACCCCATAGTCTTGTCTTCTCTAAGCCTTTCTCAAGTCATGTAAATTGTTTGATTCTTGCGTTTAACAGCTTCATCCTGCATATTAACAATTCTTGAGATTATTTAAGGAAGAGAACTAAATTAGCCGACCATTTAGAGGATTTAGATAGAGAAAAGAGTAGCCATGGAAGAGACCTTTGTGCCTTTCCGAGGCATAAAAAATGATCTCAAAGGGAGATTAATGTGTTACAAGCAAGATTGGACCGGCGGGTTTAAAGCAGGCTTCAGGTATATACTATGATTCTTTGCAGAAATTTATTATGCTTCTATGTATTTTTAGGCTAAATAATATACTGTGTTATCTTTATAGGATTCTGGCTCCCACCACTTACATTTTCTTCGCTTCTGCGATCCCTGTCATTTCATTTGGTGAACAACTTGAGAGAAACACTGGTATCTATAACATAATCTTAAGTCTTCTGTAGAATACATACACAAACATATATATATATATATATTGATCTGATGATCCACCATGTGATCTGTAGATGGAGTTCTCACAGCGGTTCAAACGTTGGCATCCACGGCACTCTGCGGTGTCATACACTCGATAATCGGAGGTCAACCCTTGCTGATATTAGGAGTTGCAGAGCCGACTGTCATTATGTATACATTTATGTTTGACTTTGTTAAAGACAGACCAGATATGGGTCGGGACAAGTTTCTAGCATGACCGGATGGGGGGACAAGTTTCTAGCATGACCGGATGGTGAGCTGTTGTACCTCAGCTAGTTTATTTGATCAAATATATTGCTTCATTTATGTTTTGTTGGGGCTTCTACATTTGATATAGTTGCCTGTTGTTTTTTCCCTTTAATTTTGTAGGGTTTGTGTATGGACTGCAGGCTTGCTGTTCTTACTGTCGATCCTGGGAGCTTGTTCCATTATCAACAGGTTTACCCGTGTCGCCGGAGAATTGTTTGGTCTGCTTATAGCTATGTTGTTCATGCAGCAAGCTATAAAAGTAAGACCAAATTTTGTATGTTTCTGTAAAGCATGGTGAATTCTTCTGGGATGCTAAAGATCTAAGCTTATTTTGAAATTCATATGCAGGGTCTTGTGGAAGAGTTCCGGATTCCGCATAACGAGAACCCGAAATCGACACAATTTTTACCTTCGGGAGGTTTTGCCAATGGCATTTTGCTTTGGTGCTTTCATTTGGCCTTCTTCTCACGGCACTACGAAGCCGAAAAGCTAGGTCGTGGCGCTATGGGACGGGTAAGTTTATGTCACTTGATCATGTTTTGGAGATATTTGGGGCATCATCTGCTTTGAGAACTGAAAAAGAAACTGTTTTGTTGTATAGGTTGGCTTAGAAGCTTTGTAGCGACTATGGTGTGCCACTTATGGTACTAATTTGGACAGCATTGTCCTATATACCCACTGGAGAGTTCCGAAAGGAATCCCACGTCGTCTCTTCAGCCCGAATCCTGTCTCCCGGTGCCTACGAAAATTGGACAGTCATCAAGGCATGTTTAACCAAGTACAATTGCCAATCCGTACCATATATATATATATATACACACTCTGTCCTTACAGGACTAATAAACTGACACTAGAAACATGTAAAAATATATGACAGGACATGCTAAATGTTCCGGTGTCTACATTATCGGAGCCTTCATTCCAGCCACAATGATCGCCGTGCTTTATTACTTTGACCATAGTGTAGCATCTCAACTAGCTCAACAGAAAGAGTTTAATTTGAGAAAACCATCTTGTTATCATTATGATTTACCTTTTGGGATTCCTGGTATGCAACAAGTTCCCTCCTAGTTCTCCCATCCTTTATCTAAATTTCGTCTATGGTTCGATCCTTAATACGTTTTGGGAGATTGCTTTGTGACAGACATTGTTATGTGGTCTCATTGGTGTCCCTCCGGCAAATGGGGTCATTCCACAATCTCCAATGCATACCAAGAGCTTGGCAACTCTGAAGCACCAGGTGATCAAATTGTTTGAACTTTCGTTTTCACTCTTGTGTTCGTCGATATATTTTTGCTGATACTGATTTCCGGTTGTTCTGCAGCTACTTCGTAATCGACTCGTTGCCACGGCGCGAAAAATATGAGTAAGAATGCTAGTTTGGGACAATTGTATGGAATATGCAAGAAGCCTATCAACAAATGCAGACCCCTTTAGTTTACCAGGAGCCATCAGCAAGGTAAGATCCAATAAAAAGATATTATACTTTAAAATTTTCAGGGAGACAGCGGTGAATATAAAAATCCATAAAGTATTTTAAAATGTTCACTAGCGTGCTTGGATGACTAATACATGACTTCACCATCATGTTCCATCAAATAAAAAAAAAACTAATTATTTGCTGTCACAATTATGCAGGCTATGCTTTTGACTAATTAATGGATTTCAATTTTGCTTAACCAGGGACTGTATGAACTAAAAGAATCAACCGTTCAAGCTGCAACATGTTCAGGCAACATCGATGCCCTCTCGAGAGACTTTATTCGATATCGAGAAAGAGATCGATGATCTATTACCGGTGAAGTAAAAGAGCAGCGTCTAAGTAACCTGCTTCAAGCCGCCATGGTAGGAGGATGTGTTGCAGCAATGCCCATTCTTAAAAGGATTCCAACTTCGGTCCTGTGGGGCTACTTCGTCATTCATGGCAATCGAAAGCTTACCGGGTAACCAATTCTGGGAAAGGATCTTATTGCTCTTCACAGCACCAAGCAGGAGATATAAGTAAAGACAATTCATTAACTCATTTATGTGTTTTTCTTTTGAGTCTAGAGTTGAAGAGAGATTTTGTTTTCATGCAGAGTTCTTGAGGAGCAACATGCACCTTGTGGAGACTGTTCCATTCAAGACAATTGCCACTTCACCATTTTTCAAACTGTTTATCTGCTTATATGTTTCGGACTAACTTGGATTCCGATCGCCGGCGTTATGTTTCCTTTGATGATCATGCTTTTAGTCCAGTAAGACAATACTTCCTGCCCAAGTTTTCAAAGGGCACATCTTTACGATTTGGATGCCGCTGAGTACGAAGAGGCACCTGCTTTGCCATTTAATCTTGCCACAGTAAGATCCCTTCAACTATCAAACACTTTCAGCTTCTCATTGATCACAATTACTATATTAAAATTTTCCCATACAGGAGACAGACCTAGGACATGGAGCATCATATGCAGGGGATGGTGAGATACTAGACGAAGTCATCACCCGAAGCCGAGGTGAGTTCAGGCATACATCGAGTCCTAAAGTCCAAGCTCCACCACTACGCCAGAAATTGACACGAGAAGTCATCGAAGTCCACGCCTCTCGACTAGTCCGCGTCTCAATGAACTAAGAGGAGAAAGAAGCCCTCGAACAAGAGGACCTCATAGTCCGATGATTGGGGAACCGAGACCATCTAATCTGGGAAAGAGTCCTCTTAATCCAGCATTGAGTTAAGAGGAATATTGTTGAATGTTTTGATAAAATCTCTTGTTAAAGAGCTTTTAAAATGGTTTTGGTCATTTTCCCAGTTGTTTTGAGTGTTAATGGTGGCTTAGGTGCAATGTATAATGTTCTCTCTTCCAATTCTACTTCTTAAAACCCCAACTTCATCTGTAACAACGTATTTCATTTACTTTTCTTGCAAGAAACATATATAACAGGATGGATATTGTCAAATCCATTACCGTTCCATTGTAGGCATGTTCTAGGTCAACTCGAATACTTCTATCACATGATGTTTGATGCATTCATAACCGTCTCATCTTATCCCGACCCGACCAATTCGATATTTATCAGGTATTTCGAATACTTTCAACGTGCTTTTATTCTGAATCAATTGAACAGTTGGTGTTTTGCCATCCTATATATTAGTTACAAAAGCTACTTGAATTAATTAAGGACCAAATATGCATTGCAAAAAGAATGTTGCCACACATAAATACAATGAATTTGTACAAGTTTTCATTACCCTTTTTGAAGTGCATAATGGAAAATGCTCACCACCTGAAAACTGAACTTGAAGAATCCTTGCTGCCGCTTTGTCATTTCAACTAAACACTCAAAAACAACACAAGAGTCAACTCTCAATTGCAGGTATGAGGCCCTACATTCTCAATTGCAGGGAGGAAAATTGCAGAAATTTTGATGTCTTTTCACTATTATTACATCAAGCTAACATCATGTTGCTTTAGATCCTGTCCAGAAAGGAAAGATTGATCAACATCATCAATGTGAGGAAAACCCTGAAATTTTGGCTGATCTGAGTGAAGATTGGATGTGGCAGTTGACCATATAACCATTTGTCATTTGTGGCCAACGCCAATTCGTGGTCGGTAGCAAACCCTTTTTTCCCCCTCCATGAACATTACTATGAACCACAGGAATTCCTCAAAAAGTGACGCCAGAAAGAATAGTGATTATTTTGTAGACTAGCTCCGACAGACGATTCACAAGAGAAAATTCGCCCAAAAACCAGAGAAAAAAAGTCTCTAGGGTTTAATAAAATATTATAAAATCAATAACTATCTCAAAAGCAGTCCACAAGCCGGACTGTTATAGCAAAAGAAATCGTCTTTATTCGAATTTTGCCAAAAATAGCAAAAATCGTATTTATTCGAATTTTTGCCAAAAATAGCAAAATCTCGAAAATCACTCTAAATTGAAATTCGAAATAAAATAAGCAATCTCCCAAAAATCCGGTCTAAATCGGATTTAAATTGACTTCCTAATTAACAATCGAAATATTACCATAAATAGTAAAAAATAACTAAATCTAGTGATTCGGAGGGGAAAACGGCAGAATTTGAGGTTGAAAAAAAGGCCACATGGAGCGTAGCTCAATGTGGAGAGCGTGCGCGTCGAAAAGAGCTTTCCGGATTGGGGTCTTATGCGCGATTCTGACACCTGTAGCCAAAGTTATGGCCAAAAGACTGAAACATACTCAAAACGACCCCAATAAGGAACATGTCACAATCAATTCCCGCCTTTGCGCTGATCTGCCAACTCATTGTATCTCAGCGCCATCAACGTGCAATCTGACAGCTCAGCATCATCTGTCTCGGATCCCCCTACATCAAAAAGCAAGCAGACAATCATCAATGAAACGAAAACCATGACAGTTTATTTAAATATGAATGATTTAAAAAACCCAGAAAAAAGAAAAAAATCATAGTGACAAGTGACAACTAAAAGATAAACCGACCACCATGATGATCATGACAGGAAAAAAAAGTTAAAAAAAAAAAAACAGACATCAAAGGGAAAGGTTGAGATCTAAGTCTTGATGTTCATTTGTCTTCCTCTTTTGTTCATCATTGCTGTTGGAAGAACAAGGGAGAGTAATAATATTTGTGAGATGTGGATGATCTTGATGAGCGAAGTCTTCCCATTGGAAAGATGGAGTCCAAGTTGATTTCTCCTTTGCTGCTTTTTGTTTCTGATCCTTTGTAACTTGAGACCCAATCAACATCTGTTTATGAACATCTCGAGTATTTCTAACCAAAGTGAAGAAAGCATTGATCTTCTCTTCTTCTTCTTCTTCTTCATCGTCATCATCATTGTTGTTGCCGTCAACTGATGGAGTCTCCCCTGTTTTTGCTTCCATGTGTTTCCTCTTCATCGAAGTCTCCCTCCCTCTCTCGTTAAGATTACAATTTCTTTAATTTAAAACAAAGAATTATGATATTGTTAATTCTCCTAATACATTTAATATATTGATAATACATCCAATTTTGTAATTCCATCAATGAATTAAATATTGATTCTCCTAAGTAAATGAATAAAAATATAATTATTATTTTTAAATAATTATAAGTATAGATTAATCACTAAATAATAAAAGCAAGATCATATAAGGAGAGAGCTAAAAAATTCAAAAAGATAATAGATATGAACGAACACATCACTAACATAAATTAGATATAACGATGTCACGTTGACAAATGATTTTATATTTTAAATTTATTTTACCTATTTAATATCTATATACTACTTTTTATATTACAATTATTTAATTTTATATTTTTACCAAATTGGTAATTTGATCAATTCAATATTTTTAGACTTTGTCCTAATTTATCAAAGAAACTAAAATATTACCAAATTTATCATACAAATTACAATTATAAAAAGAAGTCAAACTTTAAGAAATATTTGGAAATTTTTGGGCCAAACACACATTACCTCATGTTTATATATTAATTATCATGATTAAATTAAAAATGTAAAACCTTATAGGGGCTAAAATGAAGTTTGACAAAATTTAGGGGGCAAATGGGCTGACAAATCTCAACAACTTCAGCCTGTTCAACGCCAGGCAAATGGGCTGAATAGCTGATAGGTGAGCAAGTTAAGTAGGATAATTATTTATGTGAATAATACTTAAAAAATATTTAAAAAATAATGTTTAATTAAGATATATTATGTAAATGTATTTTTTTAAATGTGTATTTTGTAGATTTATTTTACTTAAAGGAATTTTGAAAAGGATTTCTAAATATTTGGATCATTTAAATTTATTATTCAAAAAATTTAAAATGAATTAAGGACACCTTTACATCATTCATGTAGGAATTTTGTCAAAAATATATTATTTTTTAAATATTATTCTCATAAAATTACCTAGAGTAAATGTCATAATTATTCTAAACCACCTACTGATATTCACCTATTAATCCCCTTCTCTTACTTTGAGGGTGTGTTTGGTTCACGGAATATAAGATTACCAGTGATAATAAAATATTATCAGAGAATAAGATTACTGGGAATGTTGTATTTTGTTGTTTGGTTGGTTTAACATGAATGTAAGATTACCGTGTTTGGTTAAAGGAATAAAATATTATTGGAATGTATATTTAACCAAATTTTCCTTATTATATATTTGTTTTTTTAACAAGTTGTAAAATATTTATATATTTTCTTTAAAAAAACTTAAATTCATAAAATTTATATTTTTTTTACAAAATTGAAAATATAAAAATGTTTAATGAAAGGATAAAATTTTATTTTAACCCCTGAACTTCATATAAAATTTTAAGTATAGATTTTTTTTTGTAAATCTAAAATAGTTTAAGGATAAATTTGTAATTTAACTTTCGTAGAATTTTTATTATTCAATAACAGAATAATGATATTTTTGAAAGAAATTTTTTTTTTAAGGGCATTTTAGTCCAAAACGTCAGTAATTCAACAATAACTAAAAAAAGGGAGGTAATGACATTCCCGGTAATATACCAAAAAAATCTACTATTGATAATGTAAGATTATCATGAATGACATTTCCGATCAATTAAACAAGAAAATATAAATTTCATTTCTATTAAAATCTCACATTCCCCGACCAAAAACACGCTGACAACAAATGAAATCGATTTGAGTTAACCTAAACCCTTGTCTTCCGCTCATAGGCACTTCAATTACGATTTTGTCAAACCTTGGGTTTCTACGTCAAAAGTAAGCGGTCGGTTGACTAAACCCACAAGCCAACACTCCTTTTTCTCTCTCACCGATCAAATTCAACCCCATATGTCAATTTTAGAAATTAAAGATTCAACGTTGATCATCAAGAACAAAAATAATACAAGACGAAACCAAAAGCAACTATTGAATTCTTTTATGAATTAGTTTGTAATTTAACAAAGAAAAAGCAAAAAGGTAGCTAAAGTGTTAGCTTAAGATCTAAGCCATCGTCGTCTCGTTGTTTTTTTTTAATATCATCCGTGTTGTTGTATGGCGTCGGGAAGATAATCGGCGACCTTGGAAACTCGATATCCTCTGTAAAGTCGGCCCATTCAAAACAGGGAACCCAACTCGATTGCTCATTCAGTCTCCGTGCCTTGTTTTGCTTCTTCTCGGTTATCTCCTCCCTTTGTCTCAGCTCATCTCTCCTCCTGTCACGCGCCTCCTGGAATTCCTTATTAGGGCAAGAACTGCTCCATCTTCTCCTCTTCTTCTCCTTCGTCATTGTCACCATCGCAGCAGACTTTACTTCTCGCTCTCCATGCGAAATAAACAGAAATAAAGGGTTTACTCGTGTGTTCTGCAAGTTTGGGGGCTATTTATAAACCAAATGTAAGGGGAAATTGGTTTAGAAAAAGTGAACCGAAAAGTCCTGACTGCCGACCGGACAAAACTCACGAGATTTTTATTCTAAACATCTTCAGGGCCGTAAACCATGACGCGTGGGGTGATGAGTTGCCATGACATGGGTTGAGATGTTGATGCCTTGATGATGGCATGGCGACGTAAAGGCTAGGATTTGCCATGACATGGGTGAGATGTTGATGCCTTGATGATGGCATGGCGACGTAAAGGCTAGGATTAATGTTGACGTAACTGTAAAGTAATGACGTAATGTCTAATGGTGTGTTTTTCTCTTGGTTTTTGGCTCGTGTTTCTCGCTAGTGCCACTACTACCGACGAAAACGTTTTCCCTGCTGATTTTTTTTAGATTTCAATGGATTTCGACAACCATCCTAACTTTTGACAATTGGGTAATTGTATTTCTTACTCCTTGAATTTGGTTTTATGATTCGAACGGGTAACCATGTTTTTTAGGTTACTATTTAAATGAAATTTCATTTTCACCAGTTAAATGTGTTAAACTGTGTCAAAGTCAAATTCAGATATCAACAATGGTGAGACAAAAATTGTATTTAGAAATGCCATAATTGAATTACTAATTTAGGGGGTTAGAGTGCAATCTCACAATGTACTAAATTTATGGCGAGACAACATGGTTTGCGAATTCAACTTCAAAACGATGATTCTGCCCAGGGTGGGTTCTGCCTTTGCAAGCTTCGCTTGCTCTTAAGAATTTAGCTTAGCTGTCCCCCTAGCATACTGTACGTGGATGATAGGATTTAATTAGTTAACAGTTATATACATGATTGATTATCAATGAAGCTTAATAATAATAAATAATAAAGGGAACTAATGAACATTGATGATGAAGAAGATAACTAAACGGCTTCTTTATCATATAACTGAAACAAACTACTAGCTACTTCTCTCTACAATAGCCCAATTTCTGCAAGATGCAGACAACAAGATTAAGAAGAAAGGAATTCCATCATAATCAAGGAAGGCCACATGCTTTCTCGAATGCTCCGGGATCAGTTTCCCTACATATCCGCAGCACTCCCTTCAGTTCTGAAAATACGGCAACGATCATCAGTTTCCAGTTCAGTAAAATTAGTGAAAACATAGAGAAACATGTGTTGGCTTGGTTTTTACCATGAGGCTTGAAGTTGAACAGTGGGGGAAGAAATCGACATTAGGTAAGCGGGTGTTAGGATCACGTAGCTCGTCAAAGAGGGATGGATCAAAGCCTCAACCTGCACAGAAAGTAAAAACACTCGTAAGATAGTTCGTCAACAAATAGAAATGTTCATCAAAGAAATAATATTTGCAGGATCCATCATATGTCAGAATCCCCATCAAAAAATGTCAGACTACAGAGAAAGAAACCAATAACAATGTGTCGATTCTTACAGCTGTACTACGAAGGTTTGGAGAGTACTGCAATAGTCGTGAAACAAGATCCACAGCTTCAGGAGGCATTCGCTTATGGAATATCTGCATACCAAGGATACATTGATCAATACCATACATTACATATAAATCTCCAAAAGAGTAAAGAAATATGATCTCCACTACTTGTGCCACGGGTGAGCTTTAATTTGGGGAAATTTGAATTCTGTGTAGTTAGGATTCATGCACTTTATTTCTTCTCTTGTTGGGGTACCTAGAACCTGCATAAAAATCACAGGTGCGGGATAAATCAGAGATCCAACGCTAATAATGCCACAGATAATTTAAAAGCCACTAGTATGGAATGAGCTTAGATAGGTTAATATCTTCCATCCTTAATGTTTACCGGTCAATTTTTTTAACACTGTCATGATAAAACTATTATTGATGAGAATTTTTAACTAAAATATACCTTAATAATCTCAACAAGCTGATCTACTCCACTCTCACCAGGAAAAAGTGCTGTAGTCACAAAAATAAAATTTGTAAGCAATAAAGGAAAAACACACACATAAAGTAAAAATATATGCAAGGAAACATCTACCTGCCCAAGCAATAGCTCAGCCAAAACACATCCAGCAGACCAAATGTCAATGGCTGTAGTGTATTCAGTAGCACCAAATATTAATTCAGGTGCTCGGTAGTACCTAGAACAGATGTAAGATATGTTTGGTTCCCCTTTTACCTGGCCAAGTTAAATAAAAATTAGGCTCATGAACAATTAGGCAGAAGCAAAAGAAAAAAATAATGATTCTATCGTACATACCAAAACTTTGGAACTTCCAAAATCACAGATTTTTAACTGGTGGGTGTGTGGGTTGACCTGAAACAGGAGCCATTGTATTGATAAGAGTAGGCATTTTAGTGTAAATGTACACGCTGATGAATAAATCCAACCTTATATAGTAAATATACAAATAAGATGGAAACTACGTTATTCCCCAAAATAAAAAACAAGAAGTACCTTTGCAACAAGGAACAACATGGAGTCAATATCTTTGAGTGAATTTATTACAAACTCATTCCATTTGAAATTTAGAGATGGCAAAGATTTTTGCTATGAGTTTCAGATTTCACGTTACAATAAATTAGCATGCATATATTCCCCAGAATGCTGGATTGTTTCTTCCCTTGCCAAATTCAATTATCTTTTCGAAGTTTGGCCATAATCATTATATATTTTAAAACTAATACAGCTTTAGCATCTATCAAGTTGCTCGTAAACATACCAATAAATTTTGAGGCTTTATGTCCCTGTGGCACACACCAATACTGTTATGAATGTAAGCAAGAGCTCTGCAAATCTGCACAAAGACAAAAATATTACCAATTTCATTCAAGGGCTGCATATAATGGCATCATGTGTTCTTGTTTCCATAGAGATGTACAAGATAGACATAAGATAGCAAATGTAAATATCTTAACCAATCTGATACCTGGTAGAAATAGAGTTTAACATATATAAGTGCATCCTTTGGCTCATCTTATTATAATGTTTGATAACACGGTGAACGGTCCCGGAACATACTCAGCACCAGATTGATAGAGTTCATCTTTTTCAGTAGTTGAAAAGAAACAATGCTTCAGAGAGACAACATTAGGGTGGTCTAGAAGACGCATGGTCTGCATTTCACGGTTCTTGTATCTTTTGTCTTGAAGAACCTTCTTAATAGCAACAGTTTCGCCTGTCTCTAAACATTTAGCCTGAGATACAACACGAGTAAACTTAGAATATGAAATGTGAACATGTCTTCAAGTTTAGTATGAAAAGGAAGAAATCAATGTGTACCTGAAACACTACCCCAAATGATCCATGCCCAACAACACGCTCGGCCATATAGCTTATTGTCTGAAAATGAAAGAAAGTTCAGTTAGATTGTTAGAAAAGCATACAAACATCCGAAATCAGACCCAATAAACTCTATTTCACAAGGATAAAATTATAAAATTAACCTGCTTTGGATGGCCATTTTACCCCCATAGTGGTGACAATTATATGCCCTGTCTCAGTTTCCGTTCCGTCAACTATGGTTGCTTCCGCTTCCTGAAACATAGTAATAGCTTTTATAAAGCTGATCCGGTCCAATCAAAGCAAACTACGAAAACAAATCAACATACCTTGTCATCCCTAATTTTCATATCATTCATTTCATCAGGTAATCTATCCACACAAAACTGCATTTCCACTAGACTCTCTTAATCGGAAGTAGGTACCATACCTATAGAACCATTGGACTAAACAAAAGCAAATAACAAGAATCTCCACAGATCCTCCTCAGTAGGATATCAAGCTTTTTAAATCAACCAAAATAAAACTCAATGAGTTACCTGAAAAACACGTTAACATAAATGTCAATGGTTCATCCTAACAAAAATCAGCAATAATTGTTACATCAAAATAACATTTAAAAAAACTAAATCTCTCATCCTTTGAAAGAAAATGTTAACATGAATTTGAAAGAAAACACACACACACGATCATTTTGAATACGAATGTTGCATAAAACTAGATAAAGCATAGACCGTTGTTCTTCCTTAGCACATTAACGTTAGCGTGTTAAGCTCCTAATAGGTTACTTTACGCATGACATTAACGGAATAAGAGATGTTTCCTTTCCCGTAATTCCTAGTGAAAAAAAGGATAAAAAAGTATGCAACCTTAGAAGGAAATAAGGATCTAAGATCAAGCAAAGATTAAACAAAAATAACGATTTAAAAAAAATCAAATAAGAGCCAAACACGGCAACCATTAGACTCACAACCAAATACCATAAAAAAAAAGACAAGTACAGATGAAATTAGTTACCGGCCGGTCAAGAAATCGGGGAATGAACAGGCAGGGGAGGTGGAATCATAAGAGGGAAAATACGGGCACGGATTCCGGATCTTAAAATGGATCTTTGACGGTGAATGATCGCCCTATTGAATTTGTTTTACAGAGGAAAATAAAAGAGAGAATAAAGTGTGGCTTTGAGAGGTTTGTTGGGTTTAAAAAAAAAATTATTTGGTTGGTGGTGTGGTGATGGGGGTGTTGATGACAGTCAAAAGATTTATATTTCTTTTTACGTTATTTCTTTCTCGGTTTTCAACAGTAAGTAGGGTCTTTCTTTTTGACCGTTCAAACACAGGGTGGTCCCCACTTTCCGCTTTCTCTCCCTTTTCACGTTTTGAATCCAACTGTTCCCTTTGTCTTTGCCCGACACATAATTTTACTCCGGAACTTTCCATTTAAATATTATTTTTTTATTTTTTTAAGTTTAAATACTATTGTATTTAACTCTTTTAAAATTAATTTCTTTAAATGTTCTATAATATTTTGTTACTATTAAAAAAGGCGAATGGCTTGTCATTTATTCGTAAATTACAACTGGAAATATTTAAATGGCAAGATGTCTCGTCAAAGACAGGATTATAAAAGTGGTTAAGTGTAATTAATTAAGATTCCAAAAACCCATGCAGAGTGGAATTGGATAATGATGAAAGATGTTAGACGAATGCTGTCTTTAGTCCCTCTATTATATCTAAATTTATGAATTTAATACTTATATTTTAATCAAATTAATCATTTTTTATATATTTTAAATGTTTTTAAAACGTTTAACCCTTTGAAGAATCTTATTGAAAACAAGTCAATACCTACAAATGTGATCAATTTATTCAAGCCAAGCATTCCCAATATTTAAATTTATTTGAAAGAAGAAAAACTAGGCCTTTCCAGCCTTAGGGTAGATTTGAAAATTCGATGGCTTTGGTGGTGGTGGCTTGGCAGTTGGCACCGGCAAGCTAACGGCGACAACTATTACCATTTAAATATATAGTCTCCAAGAGCAGGTTGAACAAACTACAGGGGTTATTTATTTATTTATTTATTGTCAAGTTGTAACCATAAGAAAAATGGATAAAGTATACAAATGATCCGTGATTATAGAGCATTGTTTAGTTAAATATCTTGACTAGTAAAAATTATAAAATGATCTTCTGATTATATGACGTTGCTTTGTTGAGTCTCTCGATCATTAAAAGTTACAAAATATTCACTCGACTATTCATATGTTCAAACTCGTCATTTTTCGTTAAAAATTTGACGACAATTAATTTGAACTGGAAGTTAACCTGCTGACTGAGATATGTTAAAATATAATCTCATAATCTCAAATTATTATTACATGTTAGTCAATATGTTAATGTCAAGCTCAGATGACCGTCAATTTTTTACGCAAAAAAATGATGAATTTGGAACATATAATTATTCAAATGATTATTTTATAACTTTTAATAGTCGGATGACTCAACAAAGTAACATCTTGTAGTTAAGACCCTGTGATTTACCTAAGAAAAGTACGATAAAAATACACGAAAATCAATATAAACCCATCATTACAAGCGTTAATCGAATTAAAATTGATGAATTATAATATGGTCACGCTGAGATTTGATAAATAGAGAATAGAAGGTGTGATTTCAAAGCATGTATGATGGGGGGTTGCCGGCAAAATCAGGAAAACTGAGTCGAAGCTAGATTCTTGCCTATATTGAATTTGTGTATGCTACCAGCACAACAGTCAAATTAAATCACTGTCAGTGCCACTCCATTACACCAACACACTCATTTAACCTTCATTATAGACTTTAAAAGCCTCTAAACCACCGAAATATAAATGGAAGTGTGAGCATGGGAGATGACCATTCAAGGAACGGCTATGATCAATACAAATTTATAGATTTTGTATCCTCAACTTTGTTATTTTAGTCTTTAATCCTTGAACATTATTGCATTCCTTTTACTCCTTGAACTTTTACTCCTTAAATTTTGGTACAACTTACCACTATAATCGTGGACTTGGACTTCAATCAAGGAGACCTAATAGACAATAATTTCGAGATGAACTTGGGCGTAAACCTTTATATAAGTTTCAAGTGCTGGGAACGTCTAAAGCCCAAATGAATAAACAATATTGTTTTGAGAGTCTATAGTTCATTTAACGGGAGGTGTTAGTGAATGGACCGACCTGATTTTGTATACAATAATCTTTGTGTATTGCAAAATGCAAATTACTGGGAATCAAAATGGGGATAAAATTTTATGTCTATTATTTAACTTTTGAAAGTTTGATATCTAAAATGATCATTTGGATATAGTTTAACGTCTATTTATAAATTTTATCTTATAAAAGTAGGGGCAAATATCAATGTTAAACATTCATTCTAGAATTTTCCAAATGTAAAAGTGTAATTACATGGATAGATAGAATTTATAAATGAACATTAAACTGTATCAAAATGATCATTTTTGATATCCAACTTTAATTTTATAAGATTTACATTTTAATTTAATCATGTATTCTCTAATTATATATTATAATATATTTCCGTAAAAAATTAAATAAGATAATTTAATACTTTAAATAATATTATATTTTAAATTTTTTATTTTTAAAGATAATTCTATATTCTATAAATTGAACACGTTCTAAAACATAAATTTACAAAAACATTTGATCTTCCTGTCAAATATGGGTTTGCAGCAAGTGATAAAGTATAAGACATGACTATGGGCGTCCATTGTATTTAATTTTTTATTTGATAAAATCAACTTGTAAAAATTTTTTTTTTTAATATTTAACCTATGGACCATACATACCAACTACACATTTGATATTAATACGATGTTGAAAATTCTTTAACAAACCTTAATTTGAGTTGACATAAATTAAAGTAAACTCCTTGCATTGAATTATATTTTAACTATATTACCCTAACTTTATTTTATCAATGAAATGAACGGCTCAGATTTCGATTCAAAAAGATTAAAGAAAAACCTTTCCAGCAAGTGGCATTAACTATTGAATTGATTAACCTGCACACCAATCAATAAAGATTTAAAATTAATTATCAAAATAATATGGTTTAATACATAATACTATTATGTTAAATTAAGTGCAAAATCTTAATATTTATATTTTCGAACTGCTCACGAGATTTTCGAGTCGAGTATCAAGTAGTTTGTTTCGGCTCGTTAAGAATTCGAGTCGAGCTCGAGCTCGACTCGAGTCCATTCGATCCGAGTATTTATCGAGCCTTGACTGAGTCGATCTCGAGTAGTTCACAATCTGTCTCGTCTCATTTATAACCCTAAATACAACCGTTGAGGTATTTATAAGGTCATAAGTTTAGAGTTTTATTATATACAAATATTATTATTAAATTTTAAATTATTGATTTTTTAATTTAGAGTACATATGCAATAAACTTTGTTTAATATTACTTTAAAGTTCAAATATTTTTTAATTATAAATTATTACAAACTCGTCATTTGAGGGTACCTAAGTCTATTTGAGCAATAAATGGCCGACTCGGTGATTTCCAACAAACTCACGCTACTGCTGCTTTGCAGCCAGCCAGCCGAATACCCTCGAACGAGATGAACGTTTAAAATACTCGTCGACCGCCCAACAACTTCACTTCCCAAATTTACCCTTCCATTATCGCAAGATAAAAAAAAGTTGAAAAATAAGGTAAATTACAGTGATAGTCATTAAACATTTAAAATGTTTTAAATTTAGTCATTAAACGTATAAAATTTATATTATAATCATTAAATTTTTAATTCACTTTAATTTCGATCATCATCGTTAGCTACCGTTAATAAATATTGATACATTAAAAAATTCTTAAAGAAAAGCTAAAAGATTCCAAATTTATAGTCGTCGCGAAAGTCATTTTTGTGTGAATAGAGCAGTCATCAATCAATTATAACGGTGAGAAATATTCTTTATTTTGATAAAATTATCATAATTTAATTTTAAAATGATACAACATTTGGCGGTGATAGAAAAAGAAGTTTCAAATTTTAGTTTCATTTGAGATTTGATGAGATTGAAAGATTTTCTTACAAGCTTAAACTGAAGAAAAAAAATAGAAGAATAAGATAAGTAATTTGATGATCTTTTCAATTGGAGAAACTACTAAATGATCATAAAAAGAACATCAAAAGAGGTAACATTTCAACTAAAACTAGAAGTTAAAATTTTCTAATATGTTATTGTTAATTGTTAGATCAACTTAAAACTAAATTATGTTAATTTTTTAGTCACACAAAATCTTCTCATCGTTGAGATTTACCGACGATCACTTCATTCCTCAAAAACTCAACATTTACGATGACTACTAATTTAAAAAATTAAGATATTTTAAGAAAGAAGAATTTAATATTTTACATCAATGTTTCTGAATAAACTTGACCGTGATGAAACGAATTAAAAGTTTAATAATTATAATACAAGTTAAAAGTTCAATTGCCAAAGTGAAAACACCCTAAAGTTCAATGACTATCAATATAATTTATCCTAGAAATTTAAGGAGCGAGCTGTGGAAGGTACGCGGAGGATGGATTGGTCATTTTCTAACGAAGAAGCGCCTTTGGCAAAGTACTCGGGAAAAAAAATTAAACTTGAAAAAGAGTGACGCGTGGCCGACGTAAAAACTACAAAAGCTTTCACGCGTCCGTCAACGTTAAGCTAAGCCTTGAAATATTCAACGTATACAGTAATATGCACACAACACAATATTAGCACCAATAATTTTGATATTATCAGTATACTAATGATTAAACTACCTCAAGGAGACACGTTGCTTGGAGTGTGTCAATTGTTATGATCGAAAGGCTGGGAGACTTACACGTGTCAAATAACAGTACTTAGTTACCTCTTCGTCCCCATTTCTGACCATATAAGTACTGGTTCAAGCCCACCAAAACCGAAGTTTGATCATTTTTTAAGAAGAAAATAATAATAAATATTCGTTCTAGTTTGAAGAAATTTGATTTTTCAAGGCTCTTGCGTGTTTCTGTAAGTTAATTTTCTGAACAAAAGGAAGTGAAAGAGATGGTAGCTGAAGCTGAGGTTGTTGTCGACAGAGCGGGCCGGTGCTGGACGTTCCGTTTTTGGTAAAGGGAGTAATATCGAGGAGATTGATGAAATCATTGCGATTTCGTCGCCGGTTTCTTCGCCTAAGTTCCGAAAAGTTCGTGTTGCTGCCGAGTCGGTTTCCGCCGATTTATCCACCGCTCAACTGGTTAGATTTCCCGCCGTTTTTTTATATATGTTTGTTAAGAACTTGAATTTTGTTGGATGTTGACTCACAACTAAGTTTCTTAACAAGGTTGCCAAGGTTGAAGTATAAATATGTTGGATTTTATTTTCTGTCGAATTTAGCTGAAACTTTTTTTTTATTTCTAGTTATGTGTAGGTTTATAGGAAAATATGTTCATCGCTAATATCCTTGGGATCCAGAGATTTTTCTGTTTTAGGCTTTTCTGAAAAAAATGGTAAATTCGTTAAATTTATAAGCTTGGTGATCAGATTTTGCATGGTTGATATTTGACAAGGATTTATCAACCAAGTTTATAGCTGTATCTAGGGAATTAAAAATGAAATTCGTTCAGCTTTTGCCACTGCTAATGGGAAAGCCTTTAAATTCTAGTGTAGTTTAAGTTTAAAACCTTTTAAGCGTCATTAATTCCACCACATCCCATTTCAGGATGTGAAATCTCTAGATGAAGTCCCTGATCCTAATGATTTTGAATCTACCGTCCTGCAATTTGTCCCGAGTATCCGTTCCGGTAGCTTTGCTGATATTGGACCGAGGAGATACATGGAAGATGAAAATATTAGAATAGATGATCTATCATCACATTTGGGATCCCTTTTCAAGTTTCCTAAACCTTGTGCTTTTTATGGGGTATGTACCATTTTAGCTGTTGTTGCCTTGATTTGATGCTGTTGTACGATTTAGTTAGTTTTCTTCATATACAGGTGTTTGATGGTCATGGAGGTCCTGAAGCAGCAGCGTATATAAGGAGAAATGTCCTTCGGTTATTTTTTGAAGATGTCGATTTCCCCCAGTCATGTGAAGTTGATGATGATTTCTTGGAAGGGGTCGAGAACTCGTTCCGTAAATCATTTCTTCTTGCTGACCTTGCTCTTGCGGATGATTGTACTGTGAATAGCTCTTCTGGAACAACAGCACTTACTGCTCTTATATTTGGAAGGTATCTTCATTGTTTATACCTTTGATTGCATTTTTATTCTCTTATCTTGAGTGTTGTTTTTAACTTTAAATCTTTGCCTGACTTGTTTTCTGTGCTCTAGGCTTCTAATGGTGGCCAATGCTGGTGATTGCCGAGCAGTTCTCTGTCGGAAAGGGGAGGCAATAGATATGTCTGCGGACCACAGACCAATTTATCCGTCAGAACGTAAGAGAGTAGAAGAACTTGGTGGGTTTATTGATGATGAATATCTTAACGGCGTTCTATCAGTTTCCCGAGCCTTAGGGGACTGGGACATGAAGTTTCCCAAGGGTTCTTCTTCACCACTCATTGCTGAGCCCGAGTTTCGCCAGGTTGTTCTGACAGAGGACGATGAGTTCCTCATCATCGGATGTGATGGGATTTGGGATGTCATGTCTAGTCAGCATGCAGTCAGCCTAGTTCGCAGAGGGTTGCGACGGCATGATGACCCTGAGCAGTGTGCTAGAGACCTCGTCATGGAAGCCTTACGACGCAACACATTTGATAATCTCACTGTCATTGTTGTATGCTTCTCTGAACCCGATCACAGGGAGCAACCATCTCCTCGGCAAAGAAGATTGAGGTGTTGTGGCCTCTCTGCAGAAGCTCTGCGTAGCTTGAGGAACTTGTTGGACGGCAACGCCAATCGGTGAACGGAAATAGTTTTGAATGATGCCTCTTGTTCAACCTGGGATATTATGTTTATATACTGTTTCCGGCTGCTTCAGTTAGAGCTACAAAAAGCAGCTATCAGTTTTGCAGGGGTTGGTTTTGGAGTATTTATGGTGGATTATTGGCGGATGTACATAGAGAATGGTGGTGTAAAGATGGTCCGAAATATTTATGTGTGCTTAGTAGCTCAAAGTCATTTTGGATTCTTTTACGCAAAAATCCCAGGTGGCTGTCCTTTGATAGTTACTTCATTGTTCATTCGAGAGATGTATGTATATATGTTTTTAATAAAGATCCTAATTTCCATTGCTGTTTTTGTTTTCCGCTTTGACCCAATTGCGTTGGGTTCTTGTTCATCTTAAATTCAGAGTAGGGATCAGCATTTGATCGAGTTTAAATTATATGATATAAATTAATTTTAATTTTTTTCAAATAAAATGAGAATTGAAGTTACAATATTATCGTATTCTGATGAAAATTTCATCAAAAAAGATTTAAAATAAATAAAAAATCAAAGTTGAGTGATTTTTTTTACTAATTAAAGGTGAGTTTTTAATTGAATAAAATTAGTAACTTTAAAAGATTATAAGTTGTTAACGTCATTTTCATTCAGTTTTCATTGATTCACGATTCTCCCAGAAAAAAAATGGAGATCGAGGATAGATCGAGGATGTCCATGACCCCGATTACTTTTACGACTCCTACACCGTCCACGTCGAAAACCACTGCATCCTCACCATCGTCGCCTACTGAGACGTCACCGCCACCTAGTGGCTCAAAGACGCCAAGAAAGACAACAATACAAGCTTCCACCGCAACACCCTGGTCGTTGGCTTCTCCGTCGAGCGCAGGTACGAAGAGTTCACCCGTCACAGACTCCTCGACACTCCGTACGATCTTCTCAACCTCTGCATCGGCTCACATTGCCTCATCTACCTCTTGGATGACCCTGATGCTGCCTACTACAGCTACCAGCCTTCCAAGTTCCTCAATCCCTTCTTCGATAATCCGAAGGTTGTCGTAGTCGGGATGGGGATCAAAGCAAAGGCAGCTCGTTTGGAGGGGGATTTCGGGGTGAAGATAAAGAGTGCCGTGGATTTGAAGGAGTTGACCGTGAAAAGGATGAGGAGGGACGAGATTGATTTGGGAAGGTTGATTTGGATAGGCTTGCTAATGCGGTGCTGGGGAAACACATGGATGTCGTGAGGGCCGGGAAGAAACTGGAGTGGTTCAAGGAGACGTATCGGTATTGTCACCGTGTTGAGATGAATGAAAGGAAGGTAATGTTTACAACGACCGATGCTTATCTTTGTTACCGAATTGGATCTCAGCTGTACAGTATGATCCATGGGAATGATTCCTCTGCTGTTGCTGCTGCTGCTCCGCCCAATAGGAAGAAGAAGAGGAAAGATCGGAAGAAGAACAAAGGAGTTAAAGAACAGATGAGCTATATTGGCTATGATTTTGTGGTAATCTGGGGTTGGTACTGTGTGTTTAGTGTTTGCTTTTTGCTTCAGCTATTATCGGGTGAACTAATTTTCATAGGATTTTGTTTTCTCCGAGGATCTTTTATGTGATACATGCATGATGGAATGAATAGTTGCATTGTCTTTTGCTGCTCCGTACAACAAGAAGAATAAGCGGAAAAAGAACAAAAATGGTAAGAGACAGATGAGATATATAATCGACAATGATTTTTAGTGGTAATCTGGGTTTTGTACTGTTTGGTTCGTGCAGGGCCGTGGCAGGGTTTTCGGGGCCATGTACAAATTCGTATAAAGGGGTCCCTATTTTTTAGATATATTCGATTTCGAGACAATAATAGTGGCGTTTTCTTTACAAACGCCGCAATAAATCCATATATATATAAGGGCATTTTATCAATAAAGCCGCAATAATAGTGGCGTTTTTTTGAAAAAACGTCGCAATAGGTCTATCTATAGTGACATTTATTGATAAAATGTCACTATATATATTTTTTTTGGCCCCATTTTTTGGGGGGCCCTGCACGGTCGCGCAGTTTGCGCCCCCCGGCCACGTCCCTGGGTTCGTGTTTGCTTTTTTGCTTATCGTGGTGAACTAATTTCCGTAGGATTTTTTTTCTCCGACGATCTTTTATGCTATACATGCATGATCGAATGAACAGTTTCATTTTCTTTTGCTTCTTTCAACTGATACGATAAAATGAAATGAGTAACGTTGTTTTGATGTTTCATGTGTTCTAAATTCTATTAAAATGTACCCTGCTTGGCTGGCGAGAAAACGCAAAGGAAACGTGGATTCGATGTGAAAGTTTTCTTTGATCGATTACGTCTTTAAACAGAATCAAAATTTTTAGTTTAAGAGATTACCCAAGTGCTCTACTCTAATTCAATATCCTCTTTCTGTTGAGCCTTACCAAAAGGGAAAATATAGAATCCATAAATATTTCATATCTTCCATTACTCCTAGCGTTTTCCCATCAACCAAACAAAAAAAAGCACCAAAATGTCAATTTCTTCCCGATCAAGCCGTACGTATTCCTATACGAATCGTCAATACGAGAATTATGCTGCGCAACCATACCCCGCCGTTTTGAAAAATGCAGTACGCGGCGACCCTTTTGCAGTGCATACTGCAAGTTGTTAAGTTTCGACTAACGAACAATCGCGTGTCCCATTGTGATTTATCCACGCGTCAACAGGACATAGTTTTGGACCGTTGAAAGTAATGGACTCGCTTCCATTTTCATTTGTTGTTGTTTCAAGTATAAATTCAAGCCCAAGGTTTGTTCTGGTTTGTGTCCAATGAAAATTTGATAATAATTGTACGGTTGTGTTATGATAATAACGAATAAAGAAGACAAGAAAATGTAAATTTACGTAACCATGACTCCATGAGTCGAAGTATTTGGAACCAATTAATGCATCTCTAACGCCTTGTATGGGATTTTCTTTTTCCAGGATATGAGAAGTTGGTTGTTACTTGTTAGATAACAATGCCACGAAGCAAACAAGAAGGCGGTGATTTAGTTTGCTACTACCATCTGGAGGCTGTGGATGGTACGATGTAAAAAAATCTTTGAATCAGATGATGACGTGTATGATGGTGTCTGTCTTTGGCACAACAATATTCTCACTAATACGAAGGTGGTGTTGATGGTAAATAGGTAACCTGTTCTGTCGACTAATATTCATCTTCACATTGTGTGGCACGGTGACAGCCTCCAAAGCATGGAAGGATGAAACTAGATACAGATGGGGCTTGTCAGGGAAATTCGGGTATATCAAGTGCGGGCGGTATATTGAGAAGTACATCTGGTAAGTGGATATTGGATTTTCGACACATTTGCACGAGCGTAACGGTTAAACTTCATGCCATTAGAATCATATTATCGATTGCATGAGATTATGTATATAGAGCCATTGAGTGAGTTGAATGCTCAAGCGGCGTTGCATCTTTGAAGTAACGGGTTCTCAAGGTGAAAATTGGGATACTTGTTACAAAACCATCGGGACCGGCATCAATGTCGAACTGAGGCAACGAATTCTATTAAACCTAATTATTATGAACAATAAGTTAGGCCTCTAGGACCCTGTTTGTATAATATCCTTTCTGGACAATGATATCACAACAACAATCAAAGCCAGAGTTCGGTAGATCTATTCACGGATTGAATTTGATCTGATTTTTGTAAAAATTCAAGCCTAAATATATTAACAATTTGACTTGCCATTCAAATGTTAAGAAATATTAAAAATACAGTGCTATATTAATGCTCACACCTTTCTACAATTAAATTCAAATTTAGAAATATATTTTATTATTTAAATCGAATCCAAATAAACCCTTGATGTCAGCTTGAGCTATTCATTACTTGCTACGAAGTTTACGTGAAGAACGTGATTCAAACCTGTCGGTCAAAACTACCATTCCCCTGTATCAAACCCAACAGCTCAATCTCTCAGTAAACTAAACAAATTTCTGCTACTCTTCCACTGGTTTTTTAACCAATGACGATCATCAGATGCCTTTCTTAACACCAATCGTCTTCTTTGCAGAAGCCAAAGAATCCGGTCCAACAGCCTCAGACTCACCATGGCCCTGGTTGTTTACTGGTACGATTTCATCTGTTTCGGCATTGTGGCGGCTGCTTTCGTTGGGTCCTTATGGGTACTATGGAGGAAAGAAGCTGCATCTAGAAGCGACGAGGAAAGCGTATACGAGAGTCTGTTAGCAGCTCAACCGGATGCTGATGGGTTCATACGTGCTACACCGAGGGCTCATGTTGGCTCAAACCAGTTGTGGACTAGTTGTTGGATAAGGGTGCACCCTGTATGGCTAGTGGTCACTCGTTTTGTCTCGTTCGCGATTATGGCCGGATTCTTGTCATGGGATATTGTCGAATGGGACACTTCCATCTTTGTTTACTACACCGAGTAAGTTTCTCCATCTTTGTTTCACATGTCTTCCATTTTACACACACATACATATACAGTCGATTCTAATCTAGTGAAACAACAAATCTGCAGGTGGACATTTACACTGGTTATGGTCTATTTTGCGGTATGTAATACAGAGCTTAAATCCCATTTTTCTCCCATTATATTTATTTCTTGACTAACATTTTATTAAAGCAGCTCCACCTTAATATTCATGCCTTTTCTTTGTCTAGCTGGGGACTGCCATATCTGTTTACGGATGTTGGATTTGCTTAAGTACACCTCTTTCTGAAAATGGTGCAAGGGATCAATTTCTCAAAAGGGAAGTGGAAGAAGGTAGAATTGCAAATGCCGTAACCTATCATGAAAAAATGTTTGGGGTAAAATCAAGTTGCAGAGTCACTATGCTCAAGAGGAGTTCCAGAAAAGAGCAGGATTTTGGGGTTATCTTATGCAAACTGTATATCAGGTATTCCTTTAAGAACTTGATGAGACCTTTAGTATGGGCTAATATACTGTCAAGTGATAACTGACTATTTACTTTCTATTCATTGTAGACCTGCGGAGGAGCTGTTATCCTGACAGACTTCATATTCTGGGCAGTTATCGTCCCGTTTTTATCGAATTCGCACCTTGGCCTGAACATGGTAAGATTTTGACTTCTTCTAAACTACAAAGGCTATGAATCTTGTTGTAATCCTTAAGTATCGATCATTAGAGTATTCAGTGATTTCTGTTCATAATTCTTTGACAGTTAATGGGTTGCATGCACACTGTGAATGCCGTGCTTCTTATACTGGATACCCTTCTCAATAGCCTGGTAATTATCATTTACTGCTTCTACAAACTACAAACCACAGGCTCTAGTATCAATTAAATCTCCTCTTTGTGTCAGCCATTCCCCTGGTTCAGGATTGCATACTTTGTTCAGTGGAGCTGTCTGTATGTTATTTTTCAGTGGGTTCTTCATGCCTGCGGATTTACATGGTAAGTATACTTGTTTTTCATTAGCTTCCTCTCTTCTAGTTCAACAACTACTTAACCCTGTATTTGCTACTTTTCCAATTCAAAGGTGGCCATATCCTTTCTTGGAGCTTACTACCCCATGGGCTCCTTTATGGTACGAGGTTTGACTGACTCAAAGTGTTTCCATCACATTTTGACTCAAATTGATAAAACATACAAGAAATTAATGAATGAAATGTACAGGTACTTCGCCATTGCTGTGATTCACGTCCCCTGCTACGGAATCTATGCATTGATTGCGAAAGCAAAGAATTCAATACTCCCAAGATTGTTCCCTCGTGATTTCGTGAGATCATACTAAGTTCACATCCCAATATGACGATTGGGGCATTCCTCACATCCATTCCCTCCACAGATTATTGTTCTTGAGTCATGTCTAATATGTTTACCATATGTTACATTTGCTAAAAAAACAAGGTTTTTGCTATTTGTTTGATTTCCATTAGTCTTACAATGACCGATTACTGAAAACAGAGCTTCCAATGCCTACTAGCAACAAAGAATACTGATGGGTCATAAACAGTCAACTTCATTCTACAAACATCACTGGCTACAGTCTTTAGCATGTATGTAAAGGACTTAAAACAATAAGGCCATACGAGGCACCAAACTAAATTCATCCAACTCTATAATGATTTAAACAAATATCTTGTTTAGAAGATAGAAGGAACCATAAGCTTTAGGAAATCGGGAGGATAGCAGACACTATCTCCCACCAACTCTAATAGCCTACCATCAATTGTATATCCTATGGTGCACAACTTCATTCTACAAACATCACTGGCTACCGTCTTTAGCATGTATGTAAAGGACTTAAAACAATAAGGCCATACGAGGCACCAAACTAAATTCATCCAACTCTATAATGATTTAAACAAATATCTTGTTTAGAAGATAGAAGGAACCATAAGCTTTAGGAAATCGGGAGGATAGCAGACACTATCTCCCACCAACTCTAATAGCCTACCATCAATTGTATATCCTATGGTGCACAACTGTTTCGTCATATCAAGAGAATCCAATCAAAGCTTATCGAACTATAGCAATATGTCATGTGGGTGTAAGGCAGTATAAGACATCAACCCCATCCATTTTAACAACCCAGCTTGTTACTTTTTAACACTCCCCATCATAAAACAAACAATGCATTAGGAAGGACAAATCTGCTAAAGCCCCAAGCGATATGCAAAAATAACTAGACATTTTCCTACCTCATTTTAATCAGACAAAAAACTCATGCTTTCTTGATCCTCTCCATACTTCAGATGCTCAGGAAACCATAAAATGTCTAAGGCATGCAACAAAAATACAAATATAAAGCATGGAAGCATATACCAAATTCACCAGAGAACAGAATCGTAAACAAAACATAAAGCATTGAAGCATGTAGAAGACCCATAAAAACCATCAATTGGTAATCAAAATTCCAAATATCACATCCCACAGTATTATAACATATTCAAACATAACAAAATTCTTTCGATTAAACAAAGTCCAAGCACTACTGAAAATTAAATACTAAAATCTATATTGAAAGTGACCTAAAGATTCGTCTTTTACCACGAGTCGAACCCCACTCAATCTCCACCAGCCTTCTGGTAAACGTAAGTGAGCCCACACTTACCGCAATAGTGCCTATCGAAATGGTTAGCCATGAAAGTCCCGGCACCACACTCGGCATTAGGGCACTCTTTCCTCAGCCTCTGAACTTTTCCAGACTCATCCACCTTATAGAACTGGAGAACGGCGAGCTTGACCTTCTTCTTCTTGTGCTTGATCTTCTTTGGTTTGGTGTATGTCTTCTTCTTCCTCTTCTTGGCGCCACCCCTGAGACGAAGGACTAGGTGGAGTGTGGACTCTTTCTGGATGTTGTAGTCGGCTAAGGTGCGCCGTCTTCGAGCTGCTTTCCGGCGAAGATAAGGCGTTGCTGGTCCGGTGGGATGCCTTCTTTGTCCTGAATCTTAGCCTTGACATTGTCGATAGTGTCGGAAGACTCAACCTCTAGGGTTATGGTCTTACCCGTTAGGGTTTTGACGAAGATTTGCATCTTTGGGTGTTCGATGGCAGAGGAAATGGGGGCTCGGCTTAGTTTCTTAAAACTGGAGATGATTGTTGGGTGTTCATATATGAGGGTGAAATTAGGGGTTTTTTTTTTGGGAAAGGAAAGTACGTAATTGTCCATGCATTTTTCGGTTTTGGATCTTAAATGGGTCATTTACCATGCGATGAGGCCTTTATAATAAAGTTCAATTTAGCTCCATAAAATTTGTTTAAATGATATTAATTAATAATATAATCAAGTATTAATTTGATTAATATTGTTATTATTATTATTATATTAAAAGGACTTTAACTATAAGAAAAGATAAACACTGTTAATATTATAATAATGGTTTAATATAAAAGTGAGTGTCTAAATTATATCATTTTTTCTATTTAAGTATTAATTTTTTTTATTAATCCTACTATCTAATATTACATATGTTATGATTTTAAGTATCTCAACCGTCGTTACGACGGTTAAAAATATATGTTAAATGACACACAACACATTTATATATTTAAAAAATTTTGATATTTTAAAAAATTAAAAATATTATTTAGAAAACTTTTTTTTTCCAAAAAAAAAAGTCACTTCCACCTTTCAAACCCCACAACCTGCATCATCGTCCTCCACATGGGCATGGGTCGGGTTGGGTCGGATTTTTGGTCCATCCGATCCGACCCGAGAAGAAAGGGACCTCCACCCGTGACTCGACCCTACCCGAAATAATAAAAAAAATTATTTTTATTTAATAAAAATAGTGACTAAATTGAAAAAAATAATATATAGAAGGGTATTATTATAATTATTCCTAAATATATAAGGTAAAATTATATATTTTTCTAGGGTCGGGTCGGGACGAATTTTTTTCACCCTAAACCCGAACCCGACCCGACCTGACCAGAACCCGATTTTTTTTAGAAAAATCCGACCCGATCGGGCCGGGTCGGATCGGAACCCGTCGGGTTCGGGTTAGATGCCCATCCCTACTTCACCACCTCCCCCTCTTCGTCTTCCCATCCCCACGTTCCTGCTACATTCCCATCCTGCATCAAGTAGTTCAAGTCAGGTTAGACCTACAGCAAGTGTTGGAGCTCTAACATCACTTGCTAATGGTAATGGCAACAGGGTTGCACAGTTGGGCTATGCCAGCTCAACTCATGCACAGGCTCCAGCTCAGTCTCATGCTCGACCCACAACAGCAGATATATTAATGTCATCTGGGTTAACAGTGTATTTCGGCCGTGATATAGCAGCTTCGCCGCCGTCCGATTTACATGCGACGGTCACAATCACGGTCGAAATAACCGAAAATGCGACTGCGACCGCGATTTAAAACTCTCCATGATGGTGGATACTCAAAACCATCCGCTTCTGATTTTCCTCTAGTTTCTGCTGCACAAAGGCACAAGCAACCAGGTGCTGACGAGTGGATACTCAGAACCATTCGCTTATGATTTTCCTCCAGTTTCGGCTACACAAAGGCACAAGCAATCCTCAAGCAACCAGGTGCTAATGACTGGATACCCTGAACCACTCTCTTCTGATTTTCCTCCAGTTTCTGCTGCACAATGGTACAAGAAATCCTCAAGCAACCATGTGCCGACGAATATGGAAGATGTTCGTTCAACCAACAAATCTTTGGTGGAAAAGATGCGAGCTGATCTTGAATATGATGAAGAAAAATATACTGCTTTTAAAGAAATATTTGGGCAGTATTGTCAGGGCTTAATAGGGACAGACAGATATTTGGATTATGTACAACATGATGGCTTGTCACATCTAGTTCTTGATCTGGCTAAATTTTGCCCTGATGTTCAGAAGCAGAAAGAGCTAATTGACACCTACAATGCTCGTGTACAAAGTAATGGTCTGGAAGAGAATGGAAGGGCCAGGGCAGTGTGCGGGGTTAAGAAAGGGAAAGGGATGTCTGTCAATGCTGCAGGCAGTAATTCAAATGATATTTTGGCAGATAGCATTCTGAGCAGTGTACGTAAACTACAGTCAAGTTATAAGCCTTCTGAAGAATAGGTAGAAGTGCTATCAAAGGATGGTTACTGTCCTTCCAAAGGCAAAACAAAGGTGATGGTTGAGGAACAACGGGTGCAACTAAATTCAAGCAATCAGCCATCAACAAAAATTGGGGGCCAAAATGAGTCCTTACCTGTGAAAGTTGGATCAGGGGATGGAGGTGGTGGTAGCAAGCAGCGAAGGAAAACTTCAAAATTTCACCTAGGGCGGCTTGGTGATGATTCAATGGCATCATTACTGGATCTAAAAATTTCTGAGTCAGACCCTGAACCCCTAGAGAACAAGGTTGATATCAGTAAGAACTCAACTAGAGCAGTGCCTGTACGGGGTGTTTGGAAGAAGGGAGCGAAAAATCTCTTTCTATGATAGGCTATAAGACAGAATATCACCAGAAGATGGTGTTTGGCTCATAATTTTTTGTTTTGTTTTGAAAAATGACCTGAAAGTTGTCAATAGTGATTGTAAGGTATGGCTCATAAATATACCGGTAAAGAGGACAGGGGATGGAGCGGAGTGAGCGAAGCGAACATCAACTGTCCTTATAAAGAAAGTCTCGTAGAGGGGGTTACGATTATGTGGGTTGGGGGTGTGGGGGCTGCGGATCGCGGTACGGTACAGGGTTAATTTTTAAATTATGTACCAGGGTTTTCTATTATAAATAGAGATATAACCTAAACCTATTATCATTGAATACAATTTTTCTAGCGCCGCCTAGGCACCGAGGACGTAAGCACATTGCCGAACCTCGTTAAAATTCTTGTGTTCTTTCGTTTACTTTGCACGATTTTTCAACAATGATGGAGTTTTGCTATGATGTTCTTGAAAGCTGTCGATAGATGGAGAAGATTCTATTATTTGCCTAGGTTTTTAAGGAGTTGCAAGATTTTTTTCTACTTTTTATGATTGGCCTCTATTACATTTTGCCCAACATGGTAACACAATTTGTAATCAAAGGCTCGGTCGAAAACAGAATTGTATGAAAGAAAACGTAACATATAATCTTATAACGACTTACCAGTTTGAGTAGTGTTGTTGACAAACAAAAAAACGTGCTTTTCCATGGGTCAGGTGAAGCCTCGAGCTTAAGGTGTGAATGAATTGTCCAACAGACATGTCCCGAGGAACCAGATACCTATAAAAGAAGTTCCCACTTTGGATTCATATCCTTTCTTCTGGTATGGCGAAAGCCTAATATTGAACAAGGCATCAACTGACTAGACTGACTAAACTTTGGGTTCGATTCGATATTTTTTTTCTTTCTTTCGTGCAATTTGACAATGTCAGAGTATCGATGATTAAAACAAATGTATCCTCAAATTCAATATTGATAGTGATTCTTGAATTAGGCAGAGTTCACTAAAATGAATACCGAGGTAGAAAGACTATAAAAGCAGGCAGCGTTGTGCATGGCTGAAACTTTTTCTTTTCCATTTCCGGAAAATCTGCTTTTGAGCATCTTTCTACAATCGTCTGCAATGTTTTAATATAATTATCCGTATTTGATTTACATCACTGCATATATCTATAACGTTTCTCTCAATCTAATTTATTTTATTTATAATATTAAGATTCCAACTTTAAATTTTGTTTGAATAATCCAATGTATCATCCCTTAAAATTTGATTTTTGTTTTGTTTTGAATTGGACAAACCATTTCGGGCCTTCAGAATGGGCAAACATAACATAACCCTTCTTCCAAAGCCCAATAAATCTTTCTTTACACCGAAAAACATAACCTTTGCGACTTCCATCTGTTCCCAGTTTCCACTGTCCAAGTTCTCAACAATGGCGGGCTCGAACCTGAAACAAAGCCACTGCAACATACGTAGCAGCCAATACCTCGGAGAAATCTCAGCCCTCTGTTTTCTCCACCTTCCCTCTCATCTCTCTTCCTTTCCTTATCTCCTCGCCGGTATAACTTTTCTTCCCTCAAATACCATCTCCACCTGATATTCTTTTTTCTTCTTCTTTTATTTAAATATGTCTAAACTTTTACTCTTTTCAAATCAGGAACTGGTTCTCAAGTTCTTCTTTATGATCTAGAATCAGCAAAGATGATCAAATCTTTTCAAGTCTTTGAAGGCATTCGCGTACATGGACTCATTTGTAGCTTGCCTGATAATACTTTAACTTGTAAAGTCGTTGTTTGCGGTGAAAGAGAGTAATTTATTTAACTTAAGCTCTGAATTAGTGTCCAAGTCAAAAACCCAGAGTGATTTTCGCGTGGACTTGAGCTTAATTCATTCTTTGCCGAGATTTACTCATTGGGTTCTAGATGTTTTGTTCTTAAAGGTAAAGTATTTTTTCTGTGTTTTCATTCACTACTGTTTATTAAAAGTTTGAACTTGCTTCCTATGTTGCATTTTGTTTTTCTGTTAACGTTTGTTCTTGTATTGGTTGCTAGAACCATTGTCTTGCCATAGGATGTAGTGACAACTCTGTCCATGTTTGGGATATATTGAAGTCTAGTTTGGTTCTTCAAGTCCAATCTCCAGGTTAGTTGTATCTAAATTATGGGAATTTTTATACACCCGGTTCACCATGTCACGTTGTTTCAGCTTCTTGAGTTTTTATTGATGATTTTTTGAACAAAGAAGGATTTAGTTCCTTTTCGTAACTTTTATTCTTGCACATACCTCTTAATTTATATGTAGATAGGTGCCTTTTGTATTCCATGCGATTATGGGGTGACAATCTTGAGGCTCTTCGAATTGCATCTGGCACAATTTATAATGAGGTGGCTTGTCTTTCCTTGCAATGAATACTTATCTTTTTTGTAATGCTCTCACATTCTTTGGTATTCCTTTTAGTGATTTAGTAAATAAAAAGCCCTTGAATTTCTAAGTTTTTGGTTCTTAGTTGAATTTTATAATTCTCAACCCGTGAACATATAACACAAGTATGGTACTTTGCCAATAACTAGTTAAATAATGATGAACCTGGGTTGTTTTCATAATGTAATCATCATTATCATCCTTAAGGTGTTACACTCTTTAGGGTTAACTTCAGTCCTATGCACCACTAACATTAAGTGATCTCTCACTAACCACATTTGTTTAAGCAGATTATAGTTTGGAAAGTCATTTGTCAACATGATTCACCTAGTTCAACAAGTTCAGTGAAAGTTTGCAAGAACTTAAGCAACTCCACTTCCAACTTTTCTGAGTGTTATGATCAGGAGTATAAAGCTGTTCACATATGTGGACTTGTGGGACATGAAGGTTCGATATTTCGCATTGTCTGGTCTTCTAGTGGAGCCAAACTTGTTTCTGTCTCAGATGATCGGAGGTGAATAAGTTTTTTTAACTACTTTGTTTCCATTGTTCTACTTTATTCTTGGAGGTATGTAATGGATTAATATGGTTTCTTGATTCAATAGTGCTCGTATCTGGACAATTCCTGGTATGCAAAGTGATTGTGATGACAAAAGGGAGGTTGTAGGCCCTGTGCTTTATGGCCATAGTGCTCGGATTTGGGACTGCTGTATTTCTGATAATGTAAGATTCATGTAATCCTGTTGCATTAGTACTTGCTGGTACATGTAAAATTTAAGAACAGTGAACTCAGAATAATAATATCTGTGATTGATTAACGCTTTTAACTTGTTCTATGAGTGTAGTCACATGTTTGATGTTCTTTACAAATTCCAATGTGCAGTGTCTGAACTGCATCTGGAATTAATGTGTTTCGTATCTTGGTTTTTAATATTATGGGTTTCTCTATCAGACTGATCTTTTAAGGTTTCTGTTAGTTAATCATTACTGCTGGTGAGGACTGCACATGTCGTGTGTGGGTCTGGATGGAAAGCAGCTTAGGATGATTAAGGAACATATGTAAGTTGTGATTCCAGATTTTTGTACTTGAGTTTTTTCTTCCTTCTGAAATTCTTTGATATTTTATATTGAAACTCTGATGATTTTGGGAGATAATCTGTGTTGAATTAGCCTAAATCTGATCAAACTAGTATTTATTACAATGTAGATATTTTACTCGAATATTTTTAATGGTGCAGAGGAAGAGGAATATGGCGATGTTTATATGATCCAAATTCTGCACTTCTCGTTACTGCTGGGTTTGACTCTGCAATTAAAGTTCACCAGTTGCACACTTCTTTTTGTAAGACGTCGGAGTTGGAGGGAGATGCTGAATCTGAAGGTACCATTGAGGGAGCACAGATAATCACTACTCGCATCCCAAATTCAATGCAGCATGCTGGACTCATGGACAGGTATGGTTTTATCAATGGACAACACAATTTTCCATCACATTGCCTCTAAATATTGGTTGTGCTGCCTAGATTCCATTACAATGTTCTCAGCTATAAAGAAACATACTTTATAAATTAAAAACAATTTTGTAATAACTTTTGGATAGGTCATGTATAGCATTAAGTCGGATTTCCTAGATAGCACCTCTCTTGTGAGTATGGATCAGAAACTTCTGCCCCCCTCCCTCCTTGCCTTTGCATTATTTTTTTTATTCTTTCATATTTGTATTCTGATTATTTTGCATCATATGCTTATGGTCAATTTTCATTGTTTGTTCTGTTGTTGCAGCAAAAGTGAATATGTGCGCTCCTTGTATTTTAAATGTGAAGATACCATTTATGTTGCTACAAATCATGGTTATTTGTATCATGCTCTATTATCTGAGACAGAGGATGTTAATTGGACTGAACTGGTCCGTGTCGGTGGAGAGGTTCCAATTGTTTGTATGGATCTGTTGTCCACAAGCCTTTCTGAAAATCATTGTGGTATAAATGATTGGATTGCTATTGGAGATGGTAAAGGAAACATGACAGTTGTTGGAGTCACGGGTAATCGTTCCCCACCTCAAGTGGGCTTCACCTTTAGTTGGTCAGCTGGAGCAGAGAGGCAACTCTTAGGAACTTACTGGTGTAAGTCACTTGGATGTAGGTATGACTTTTCTTTATTAATCTGATTTTATCTTGATTCTGATTATCTGGCAAGTATTGCTTGCCTGAGCTGTAAAAATCTATATGCTTGAGTGTGAATTTTAAACATTTATTAATCGTCTAGCTCATTTATAAATGCATTTGCTGGTTTATTAATATGATAATATGATTGATAAAGAAGTGAAGCTCTTATGCCACATTGTCCAATGCAGAATCTGTAGTTTTCCTGCTGATAACCTGGCATTGACAGTCGAGAGCCATCTTAAGTCTCATTCTTTACTTTGAAGATATAGAGGATTTTGAAATATCATCTTTTTTGTTATCTAGGTATGTCTTCACAACTGATCCCAGAGGAATTTTGAAGCTGTGGAAGCTATATGACCCCTCAATATCTGTTTGTCAGGATTCTGGAAGAATTACCCTTATAGCAGAATTCCCTTCAAGCTTTGGAATACGAATTATGTGTTTGGATGCATCATTTGAGGAAGAGGCATGTTTGGCCTTCTTATTTTCCCCCGCTAATCTTTACTTTATTGGTTTATCTCAATGGCTTTCCTATGGATTAAAGATGGAGATTTTTAAAAAATAGAAAAGCTTTCAGTTTCAACATTGAAGAAGCTGTTGTTAGTCCGAAGCCTGGTTTAATTGAGTTTACTATGTTTGCAAAAAAGAAAAGAAAATGTATGAATGTTCTTACTACGTATTATTTATTTATGTAATGTAGCTTGTACTTTTGCAGGTACTGGTCTGTGGAGATCTGCGTGGTAATCTGGTTCTGTTCCCTTTATCAAAGGAGCTGTTGCTGTCCACATCTGCCTCTTTAGGTGTAAAGATATCTCCACTAAGTTATTTCAAAGGAGCTCACGGGATTTCGACCGTGTCCAACATTTCAGTTGCTAGATTAAGTCACAATCAAATTGAAGTCCGAACGGTATGATATGAATCCCTAGTACAAGGAAAATACTGGAATAATAAATCTATCTTATGTTTTCTCTCTGGTTTTGGTTTTTCTAGGAAGCTTTTACCATATAGAGATTATAAAAATGAAATATTCGTAATAGATTTAAGATGTATCTTATATAGTTTGTTCTCCCTTGAGGAAAAGGGATAATTTCTGTTACGAAATTCATATGAACATCCATTAACCTTAGGAAAGGGAAAATCGTGTGTACCATCAATGATTTGATGCATCCATTAGCCTTTGGGGAAATGGTTTAATGCATTATGCATGTCTGTCCGTGTGCTCATATATTTCTTCATGTTCAAGCATTTGTAAGTATGCCAATTATTTTCTGATTTCCTTTCTTTTTTTCAGACTGGAGCAGATGGGTGCCTATGTTATTTTGAACATGACAAGGGCCGAGAAAGTTTTGAATTTATAGGAATGAAACAATTGAAAGAATTGAGTTTGATTGAATCTGTCTTTGCTGACTTAAAATCTGCTGATGATCTGGCAAACTGCAACTATGCAGCTGGTTTTGCATCAACGGATTTCATAATATGGAATTTGATAACCGACGCAAAGGTATTCTTCCCTCCACCCTCCCTCCTTCGATAATGGAGGTAAGAATCTTTTTTTTTGATAGAAGTTGGAGGTCTCATTAAAAACTCCCTTCGTATTCTTCCACATACTTAGAAGTATGTTGAAGAACAAGGAAGGGAGAAAAGAGTGCCTCATATTTTATTAAATATAATACTAAGTACATGAGGTAACACCAAACCCACATGCGGGAATAAAACACCAATACAACCCATATCACCTAGAAATCTTACATCGTCAACCAAAAAGCCCCTAAATCACCTCAAGATGTAAGATAACATAACAAAAAACCAACAATTACAACCACAAACTTAAAAACGCCTCTGAATACAGCAGCCGAACAATCACAACCCAATTGGAGGATCAAGTTCTAAAGAAATATCGCAATCTTCAGGAACCCAAGAATTAGGTTTGAAGGAAGGATCAACTTCATGCACCAAGATTTTGAATAAATGATCCCCGACCTTCAACTCCAACAACTCATTAATTCTCACTTGAGCGTTTGTGAGTATTTGGATTTTAGCCCGATCAAAGACGAAGGGAACTCACAACTGTTATCGATTGCTATTAACTTGCCCCACTTAGTAGCTATGTTTTTGAAAGTATCCCAATTCCAAGCGTGAAAAGGAATACCTTCGCAAACTAGCCAAACGCGCCGGCTCTCCACCACAAGGCTCTCAGACCAAGTTTCCACTCTGGAAAACCATTCTGCAAGAGTTTCTAACTTTTCATCCTTCACGCATCTCAACGAATTAGAATCTTCAAAAACCATTAGAACTACATTTCCAGCAGCTCTCATAAGCGTGAAACCCGCTAGTCCTTTGGCTTGTATTTGGTTAGCAAGATTACCAATCTTGATAAAGTTCTTGCACCACCCCACAAGACAGTTAGACAACACATGAAGTTTATCTGCGTCCACAACACCCTCAACTTCACAGTGTTTAATCGTCGGAAAAACTTCCAGCCCCGACTTACTATGAACAACTTTCGAGGACTTTCGCCAGTAAGACTGTCGGGTTTATGTTTAGCCAAAGAGACTCTAATTTTGTTGCCGTAAATACGATAACCATTCATCTTAGAAATCGATGTCTTTGCTTCTTCAATTGTAGCAAAGCGAATAAACCCAAAACGAACCCCATTCGAGTTTCTTTTTTTGGGAATGAAGGCATCAATAACTTGACCATGTGAGCCAAATATGGATCCAAGTTTCTTCCAATGGATCTTCTCTGGAAGGTTTTCGATAAAAATCGTGTAACACTCCTTTCTGGACCCATTGCGAAAATCTGGTTGGCCTTCTTTCGACCGATTATAAAACCCATTTCTTCTTCTTCCCACCACTTCGGAAAATTTTGCATCGGAATACCCTTTCGAATAGATTTCCTTGGCACCACCATGATCAACATTAGCGACAGGAAGCGTTGGTGTTGCGTGAACAAAAGACAGCTTTCCGTTCCTATGTTTCCCTTCTTGTGAGCATTTCTTCAAAGGACTGGATGATAGTGGACTTTCACCCGACCTCGCCGAAACTGATCCCGAAATTTGTTGATTTTGGGTTGAAGGAGAGTGTCTGTAAGTGGTGCCGTCGGACTCAACTATCCAACCCGCCTCACGTGCCAAGGCTGCCAAAACATCGTTCTTAGCAGCATTCGGTGGAATAGAGAAGTTACCAACTGTCTCAATCCGGCCAACAAGCGTCTGGTAAAACTCTTCTTTGCGGTTTCCGTAACCTTGTCCTCTCCTTTTCATTCTCAATTTTACGATTGTCCTTACCGGAGTAAGATGAAGAGGCAGCACCAGCGGATCCAGATTTCTTGAGAAGACTGCCTCGTGGAACTGCATTTTCCTTCATTTTTAAATCATTAACCCGCTTATTCAACTCTGCCACTAATGCTTTAAGAGCCTTCACTTTCGCTTCTAATTCCTTGGCAGACTCCAGGGGGAAATCACCAGCTGCAACACGGCAGCCTGGTTCAAGCGGGAGATGAGAACTCCTAGACGAAGAAGGAGGAACAATAGGAGGCCTCACGGAGGAAGCAGCCACCGCACCAGCTGAGTCAAACCCTCGAAGTTGGCTGGGTTGAGACGTGGGTTGGGGTTCCATGGTGAATACTCAGCTGTACACCACTGCTCGACACAAGAGAAGACGGGATTAGGTCACGTTTAGGCACTGCGCTGGGTTGAGTGGCGGAGGCGAACTCGGACGGCTGGAGGCTTCGAAAATCTGCAGAGGGCGAGTGTAGATCTGCGACTAAAGACAGCGTTTTTCGCAAATGCAAGTCCAGATCTGTATTCACCGTGAGCAGACGACCATCCTAGGAAAAAGCGGCGTCAAACGGTGGTCAGAGTGTGGCGGTGGACGGCTGACGGCGGCGTCAGGCGGCGGGCGGCGGCAGCGGCCAGCAGGCAACAGACGAATGAGACAACACTTTTAAATTTAAAAACACTTTTGGTTATACCTTTTTTGCTAAATGTTTTCATTGGCACAGGTTCTGCAAATTCCATGTGGGGGGTGGCGCCGTCCTCATTCTTATTACCTTGGTGATGTACCAGAGATAAGGAACTGCTTTGCATATGTCAAGGTATGCTTACTTCTATTGTTCAAACCTGAATCCTTCGAGAAACATCAGAAAAAATGCAAATTATTACTTTAATTTATGTGATTCACCTGTCTATGAGTGATGACTTGTACCGATAAGGCATTGTTGGCAATCATTCATCAGTAAGCCACATCCTTGGAATTTCATGAACAATAAAGCATACTCTGGCCATGATATCTTTCTCGAGTTTCTGTATCTTCTGAGCACATCATTTATTTTTAATAATTTGTGCAGGATGAAATTATCTATATTCATAGGCACTGGTTACCAGAAGGTGTGGGGGGGAAATTCCCCCGGAATTTACACTTACAGTTTCACGGGAGAGAGATGCATTCCTTATGCTTTGTCTCTGAAAATTTGCAAGTTAAAGGAATGAAGAGGAAACTTTAGTTGATAAATTTATTTGGATTGCAACTGGATGTGAAGATGGAACTGTGAGGTTAACTAGGTATGTTGGTAGTCATATGCCCCTTAGAATGTGGTGCGATGCTTCGTTTTGGACACATATTTTGTTTTGTTGGAGAAACTTCGGATGGTTGACCTTTGAATTTCAGCATTTGCATGTGCACTGCATATGCTGAATGTATACTAAAAACACAAATGTGTGTCCCATATGTTCTTCCCTTGTTTTTATCTCATCGATTCTTGTCCATTAATAGATCATCTTATAATATTACGGGTGGTTTAGGTTTACTCCGGAAGTGGAGAATTGGTCTGCATCAAAATTGCTCGGGGAGCATGTTGGTGGATCTGCTGTTAGATCAATATGCTTTGCGTCAAAGACGCACATAATTCCTTCAGGTGTATCCACCATGCCTGACATGCAGGAAGGACAAAATGATACTTCAGATGGCAAACAAAATCCATGTTTGCTGGTTTCTGTTGGTGCAAAGCGAGTTCTGACAACTTGGTTACTAAGAAATAGGAGTCTGGATGAGGAAGAAATATACCCAAGACAAAATCTCAACAGATGTGAAACTGGGCATAATCCAATAGTCAAACAGTGTTCACCAATGTCATTTAGGTGGCTCTCCACTAATATGCCTGTTAAAAGTTCCATCATGGGAGGAAGCGAAAAAATTGCGAGTGCTGCCAATGAAGTTGCTAGCCTCAATAATGATGCAAAGACCGGAACAACTAAGAAAGGGGGAACAGAGTCAAAAACTTGCTTGGGGAATAAGTATGAAGATGATTGGAGATACCTTGCTGTGACAGCTTTTCTTGTTAAATGTGCTAATTCTAGGTAAGCTCTGATTTTATCTGCCTTTTGTTTTATTTATTTGTTATTTTAAGAAAACAAACTATTCCCTTTTCTATCCATTGCAGGTTAACCGTCTGTTTTGTCGTCGTTGCTTGTTCAGATGCCACATTAACATTACAGGCTCTGGTCTTACCACATAGATTATGGTATTCACAAAAGCTCATTGATACTTCAGTCAATGATCATTACTAATTCCATTTTCATTACTTCAGCATGCATCATGAAATATATTTTATCCTCTTATAATTTCAGGTTTGATGTTGCTTTATTAGCTTCGATGTCATCTCCGGTTTTAGCATTGCAGCATGCAGTTGTTCCTATGCATACACCTTCTAAAGGTAGTCTTTTCCTCAAAATCATGAGTTAGATTAAGGACACAGCATACCCTGGCTGCATAGTATTAGGGTTAAAAAGATCTCTTTCTGGTTTTTTATACCCTCTGCTGACTCTTATTGACAATCTTCAGTAACAGGAAACATCCAGATTAGCAGCCTATACCTTGTGATAAGTGGAGCTACCGATGGCAGTATCGCCTTTTGGGATATAACTGAAAGTGTTGAAACATTTGTGCAGCGAGTTTCTAGTCTTAATATAGAGAAGTTCATTGATTGTCAGAAACGGCCACGTACAGGAAGAGGAAGTCAAGGAGGGCGGCAGTGGAGATCATTGAACAGTAGTATGTCTAAGAGAAGATTTGGTGGTAACTCTGTAACTAAAAATGCTGGAGACGTGGATAATAGTGACTTGAATGTTACGCGTTGCCCATCCTTGGAATTAAATGACGTTGAAAGGAGCTCAAAGAACTCTTCGCAAGCTGAGCATAACACTTTGCTCGAGCCAGAAACAAGCAGAACTGATTCCTTAGCTGAGATATGTGAAATACAGCCTATACATGTTATGAACAATGTACACCAATCCGGTGTGAATTGTCTCCATCTTTCAGGGGACCTCCGAGATTCCGAGAACTGTTTTCTGCTTAATATTGTCAGCGGGGGTGATGACCAAGCACTTCATTATCTTCGATTTAAGCTGACACAGTCATCAACTGAGTTAGATGCTAAACTTCCGACCTCAGAAACAATAATATCAACCATCCAGTCTGATAGTATTGACAATGTTGTATATTATAACAATCCGAACCAGTCCCGTAATTATCACATCAGATTCTTCAATCAACATAGAATCTTTTCAGCTCATACTTCTGCTATAAAAGGTCAGATAATGAAAACTATCCTCAGATTCTTTCGAACTCTAGCTCCTGCAGTTTTTTGTTTTATACTAGTCATTTGTACTAAAACCAAGTTTTCTTTGATGAAGGCATTTGGACAGATGGGACCTGGGTGTTCTCAACCGGTCTCGATCAGCGTATCCGGTGTTGGCTTGTTGGGGATCATGGCAAACTATCCGAGCAGGCTCATCTAGTCATTAGTGTGCCAGAGCCAGAAGCGTTAGATGCAAGAGCGTGCGGCAGGTCAGTGGAGCGTTTATGTGCAACTTTAGATCGCTGCAATCCTTTATTACTGTTTCGGAAATTTCAATCCTTGAATGGGTGTTTCAGGAACCACTATCAGATTGCTGTTTCTGGAAGAGGGATGCAAATGGTCGAGTTCTTCCTCCCTTGAAGGTAAAAAGTTTTGCAGCATCATCAGCATATAGGTACCAACTTCTTGTGCAGCTAGCTCTAATGTGAGGTCATCCCGGATTAATCAACCGTTATCCCTGTCGGTTGACTTGCGAATCCAAAGAAGGGTGGTCCGACTTACCATTTGTTTTATTTCCGAGCAAAGCAGCCTCGAACACAGCTCATTTAACCCTAACCAGAATGGATGGACTATTGCTACCTTGGACTTCCAGTGGTTAATCATCTGAGCTCGAGTGTTATACCAAAAGAATTCAAGATGATTGAAATTCAAAGTCCAATAACTAATGGGATTTACTTGCGTGATTAATATTAATTAGTTGTGTCAAAGTCCAAGGTTGCCTTGATGACTCTGTTTTGTTACTTGAACAAAAACATTGAATGTTCCTGCCCTAACCTCATCATCAAGAGCTCGGACAAAATTTTTAGGATTTATTTCCTTTCATTGGATGAGATCATATGAGAGCATAGACTGAAGAATTGGTAAAATCAATAATATTCTACTGATTAATTTTCTAAAATTTATTCAATTTACTTATATATAGTCATGTATTGTTTGCATATTTCAACATTATATATATAGCATATTTTTCATTTGCCAAGTCTTTTCTTTTTCAATTTCAGGTTGGGATAAATAATATAAGAGTCGATAATCATCCCTTAATGGTATTAGTGGATGCTGAATTAATTTATAAATTTACAATTTTTTTAAGAACCAAACTAAGGGTCAGGGAATAAGCATGATTTTTTATATCAGCGAGATTTTTCTAATATATATATATATATATATATTAGCAAGGTCTTACATCAATGATAATTTTGAGATTTTAGAATATAATATTATTCTTATTGATATTTAACGTAAAAAACTAATGATTATGATGGTTTATTAAAATTTATTTATTTTAAACCAATAGGAATTAGTTTAAGCGGTAGTAGTTTGATATTACTTAAGCAAAGATTTGAGCTCGAGTCTTTATGTATACATAAAATCTTTGTTGGGAGACTCGCTCACTAAAGTCAGGTGTGCGATGCAAGCCGGTTCTAACTAGTTTAAGGCAAAGTCTTGAAATCGGAAGGATAATAAAAAAATTATTTATTTTAATTTAGATAGAGAATTATAATTTGAGACAAACTTTAAACATGATAAAGATATAAAAAATAAAGATGTGTATTCTCGTGCATAGAGGACGGAAATTAGTAGAACATTTTATAAGAGGCAAGACATTCTTTCTGTTGAGAAAGAAACGGATAAAATTATCTCTTTTATTCGTAAAGTCGTGTAGTTGTTAAAATATAGTGATTGATGATAGGAAAGGAATCAAGATCGTATGTTTAGAGAGATCAAATTATCAGACTTAAAAAAGATAAGAGTTTCAGTAATTAAGTTGACAAAATTTAATTTATCTAATATTTAAATTATCATCATATTATATTCCTTAAAGATATACGTATTTTCCCCCATATTTTTTTAATTTCGTCCTTGATTGAAGAATACTTTTTTTTATAGATTTCATTAATATATATTTTTACCGGTACAACAATCCGCCATTTTAAATATATTTCAAAAATATCATTTTAAAATTATCGATTTAAACTTATTTATATACGCGTGTGTGTATATATATATATATATATTTATATGAGTCTTACGATCATATTTGAACATTCAAATTAAATACATGTGTTAGTGGAAGGTCCACAAACCCATACGCCCATTAAAATCTGATTGCATTAAATCATGTTACGAGGCAAATTCCATGCCTTGCATTTAGGCATGGGCATGGACCCGAACCCGATGAGTTTTTATCTGATCCAACTTGATATGGTAAGGTTGGATTTGGGTTTAAGGTGAAAAATATCCGATTTTACTTGAAAAAAAATACAATGTCACCTTATATATTTAGGAATAATTACAATAATACCTCTTTGTATATTATTTTTTCAATTAAATCATTATTTTTATTGAATAAAAATAATATTTTTTATTATTTTTAGTTGGATTGGATCGGGTTCAGATTTTATCTTAAAAAATCAAATCGAGTTAAGAGTATATATTTTTTGAATAGGATCGGGTTGGCCGAAACCCTACCCATATTCATCCCTAGTTGCATTTATAATTAAAAGAAAAAAAACTTGATCCACCAAACCCAAATCAAGCTTTTAGCAATTATCGTCTCATGGAATGATATAAACATAGCTTTATCGCATCGCATATACTATAAATTAATAAAAATCCAAATATAACCTTACTTGCTCATTTGTAAACACTTGATATTATTTATTTTATTTTATTTATTTCTCACCTAACAAAATTTGAACCTTCCTCGATTATCAATGCACCTACTCTTTCTATTTCCAAGAATTGTACACTGAAATTATATATATATATAATACTGTCATTTTTTATACATAAATGGAATTTGTTCTTAATATTTAAGATTTTAAAAATATTTTAATATAATTATCGGTATTTATTTATTGATCGACTAATTTAAATCATGTATTATATAAGGTCAATATGAGGATAGTCATTCCAATCCAATTTATCCTATTCATAATATTAATATTTACACAAATCAAATTACCTTAGCGGTTAAGTTATTATTTTTTGAAGTTTCAGGTTTGAGCATCGCATATGTTAGATATGAATATTCCTTGTAAAATAATTGAAAGTATTTGAATATATATTACTTTGTATTCACTCATATTTATTAAAATAAATAATATTAATATTTAAATTTTCAACCTCACTTAAAGATCTAGAGTTTCAACCTATTAAATCAACTAGTTATTGATAAATATAAATATTTTTTGTGCTATAATAAATTACAAATAGTAAGAAAATAAAATAAATTAGATTTTGTCACATTTACGATGGAGGTGAAAAATATATGTAAAATATTTTGTACAATTTTATTAACAATAATAATTAATGGAGTGATAGAGAATTTATATATAATTCTTACAAAACATGAGTTTAATTCTTAAAAGTTCAATTTTTGTTATGTATTTAAATATTATATGAATACAATTATTATTGTAATAATATAATTATAATTCAAAATAATCATAATTTAATAGTTTTAAATTAAATACATATTTGATTAAGTCATAATACTAAATTCAATCTTAGTTTTAATTATTAATAACCATGAACCACCGGCACGTGCCGGTTATTTCCCCAATCTTTTCGGAGAGTTGGTACAATAGTACCTTATAGACTACACTTCCATTCCTGATTCCTATAGAGTGCCTTTGCCTAGTTGTTGCCGCATCGTGTTGTGTGGGTGTGGGGATGCTACGGCTGCCTCCACTATGATCGGCTTATGGCTCTCGGCTGCTGAATTACATTTTCTATTTAAAATATCGCCATAATTGTAGACCTTTTCTTTGCTCGTATTTCGACGGCCAATGTTAATCTAAACATATTTAAAATTAATTTCTGATTTTTGACTTAGAATTTATAGCCTCCAGATGCAATATTTGTTGAAATTTTTGACTAACCTTAATCCTTTTTTTACTTTATTTATTTTTTGTTGTCGTATCGTATTTTATTTGGTCAATAAAGTATATTTCGAGTCTATAATTTTTATTTGTTGTTTATCAAATAAAAGTTAAATAATTAAATTTCAAATGTACATATAATTACAAGATGAACCTATTTTAACCTATATTATTTACTGAGGTTAATTTAAAAAAGAAATGAGATGAGAGGGGAAAATGAATTTTATTCTTAATGAATATTGAACTCATAATCTAAAGAAAAAAGTGTTAACTAAGAATTTTTAACCGCATATTTAAAATTATTGACAATTAAATAAAAAAGATTACTTTCACATAAATAAAAGAAGAAAATGTTTAATATATAACGTGCACATAACTCTGACTAGTTTTAAAGTGAAATAATACGGTAATCTTTGGTCATAATTAATGATTACATTAGCAATATGAAAGTGTAAATTTTTAATCACTAATTGTTATGACTCGATTTAGGGACAGTTAGAAGTTTGACATTGGTTTTGGAGGAGAATATGGTACAATTTTTCTTTAATCCCTTTAAAAATTATAAGTTATAATTAACACACTGATAAATCATAACCTATCCCTATAAAATTAACAATTCATTTTTTATCCTCTAAATGTAATTTATGTATTCTCTGTCTTCTGAGCCTTATTATTTTTATTTTTTGTATTATAAATTTTTTATGTTAATATACTATTTAAAAATTAAAAGAAAATATACAAAATGAAGTTATTAATTAAAGAGATTAACATTTTTACGGAAATATTATTGCTTGCTCGACCTATTCCGTAAGGTTAGTTCGGTACTTTGAAATTATTTCCTTCAATAGTGTTGTGCTGTACGGCCGTATATTCTCTTAACATTTGAAAAGTAAAAGGGGCACGGACGGAAAAACATTGCAAGAATAATGTAATACTTGGAGGTCAAATTACGTTGTTTTTTATTTTAGCAAATATTTATATCAGTATTAAATTTTTTTAATTAAATTGACATCATAAATGATTATTATTATAAAAACATTTGTTTATTTCGATATGATTTTTAATTAATTAAATTAAAACTTATTATTTGAGAAATTAAATATTCAAAACCAAACATATAATCTATACAATTTTGTAAAAATCCTTCATTACTCTCTTCCTAATTAATATTTAAAATAAAAGGTATAAATATATCTTCTAAATATCAAATATTTTACTACACTAATATAATAGACGTGAGATATCCAATTATATATATATATATATATATATATATATATATAAAATTAAGTTTTTACGAATAAAATATGTTCCTATAAAGAAATGATTAAAAATTCAAGTACTCAATCAAACAACTAATAAAATAATAGATACAAACAAAGATCACTATCGATAGTGAAAGATAAACAATATCAACACTAATATAAAAATGTATATAACAATAATGACACATTGATAAACTAATTTTATCACAATTCAATTACGACATTTATTTGGTGATTGTGAGTGTCTATCAATAAAAGAGAACTAATTCGATGTTATAAAATATAAGTAGCTTAGCACAAGAATTAAATAAATGTAAAATGAAAGAGATAAAGTATTGTAAGAACATACAAAAAATATACTATAAAAATAGATAAAAATCATCTATTATTTTTGTATTAAAAGGGAGATAGTAATTAAACAAAATAATATAATATAATTCATATATATAAAAATAAAATACAATAAATGTTACGATAAAACTTTAGGAATAAGAGAAAAGAAAGAAAAGTAATGAGTTAACGATCAATGATTAATCATGAATTGGTATGGACATCGGCCATTAAAGATATAAAAATTTTACAAGATGAATGTTATATGAGAAAAATAAGAAAGAAATGATTATATTTAATTTTAAATTTCAATATATATTTTTTAAAAGTGTACACTTAAATCAATTTAAAACTTTACATATATAGTTGTCGTAACCGTCTTTCGGTTGGGCCCCAGAATTGGGCTTCGACTTGAAAA